CTTTGATGAGAAAAAACTTTTGGGCAACAAAAAGTGACTTTTTGTTGGAAAGACTCAAGTGTCGGAAAAAGAGGGTAAGAGCCAATGATTTTTATTTGCTTAGTAGAGCCTACGCGTTAAATAGACTATGTACATCAAGTTCAATCTGTGGTTCTGAGAGAAAAATGAATATCATAATGAATAACAAAAAATCAACAAATTCTTGACTAGATGACTGGAGTAAATGACTATTGATAAAGACTAGACCAGGGTTCGAAGACTACAAGGATTGCAGCACTAGACAACAGGACAAGATACCACGCAGAAACTAACAACAATTGTATGATAATTTGTATTCTATTATTTAATCATTATCACTTATAAGAATAAACAAAAAAGGATTTTTAGGGATGAGGAGAGAGAGAGAGACAAAATTCCAACACTATACCTTCTGTCACTGATAACCAATCACTAGCCTCTGAGTCCACTACAGTTCTGCCTTCAAAGCAATCTAGAAGACCCAAAGTAAGCAAGTTGGTTGTTATCTCTGACCCCAAGCCAATCGAATCAACCGCACCAACCAACGTAGGAAAGAAGAATAATTGCAAACAACCCACCAAAGACTCTGCAGTGCAATCTCAACCAACTGAGAAAGTTATGGATTTAACACAAGATTCTGATGAAGAAAACTCGCGACTTTTCCGAAAGAAAAGGTGCAAGGTTGTGAAGCCTAGTGATGAAGACTTCGATGATGTTGAGGATTACTTTCATGTACCGTATTTGGCGGACGTAAACGTATGTACGGTAATTTTTCTTTAATTCAAATTAATCTTGCCTCGGAATGACTTCTACTCCCACATCCTTCCCACCTCTCATTACGACTTTAGGATTCCCAACCGCTGATGTACGAATGCAAGTGGTGCGGCAACCCATACAAGAAGGGGCTAGGCACCCGGTCCAACCTCTATTTGCACCGTGATGGCAATCTCCACCGGGCACCTTGTGCTTCTTGATCGGCAGCAGTAACCGCAGGCTGCAAACTCCCACTGACTCCGAAAGAAATTGAGAGCCAAAAGAAAGCACACGAGCAAAATCAAATGGCGAATTATATTCGCAGTGGCTTGGGGTCTTTTGATGTTTGGGTTTTTAATCAACTCCTCATATTTTGGATGGTCAAGCACTCTCTACCCTGGATGCAAATCGAGGATATCGACCTTGGGGTGGCTTGTGATTTTGCCAAACGAGGCATCAAGCTCTACTCTCGAACTTGGGCTGCCAATGAGGCACACGATCTTTACTGCAACTTACAAAAGAAGGTAGTTGCAAAACTCACTGCAAGTACCTTCTTAATATTTCATCCTATTCCATCGATCCCTCACCCTGATCATATTGATTTGTCTTCAATTTTTTTCAGGGGCTCACCTCAAAGTTGACCCTCATTCATGATGTGTGGACGACTAAAGGGAATCATCACGCCTTCTTGGGTATCTCGGCCGCGTATATCTCTGATGACTGGGTCTTCAAAGTCTGTCACTTGGGACTCAAGTTTATTGCCTGGACACACAACGGGAAGTACTTGGCTGTCCCCTTTGCGAACATCATCACGAAAGCAAAGATTCACGACAAGACAAGTATTTTTATAATGAAATTTTTGGCTTTGCATTGGCTAATTGGATCATTGAATTCTTACGTCATAGCTCAGACAACCGATTCTGGTTCAAACAACGGAACCATGGCCACAGAAGTCGATTGACTTGTTCTCAACAAAACCGGCACTTCCCTCGACCTCTCGCATAATCACATTAGGTGTTTTTTCCACAATCTTTCCCTCATACTCAATGCTGGATTGAAGGCTATCGCAGTAAGCCCCCAATCCAAAGGGGACTCTTGGATATGTACCCGAGCTTGCATCGATTCAGGAGGACGCTGGAAGTGCCAGAGATACCGATGACCTGGGTGCGGACAATCAATCGGTTGACGATGACAGTGGATCTGTCACATCCGAATCAACCAATGAGGAGCCAGAAACCCCAGCTACCAACAACATCAACGCAATCCTCAAGAAGGTGGACTTTGTGATCCAAAAGATCACCTCCTCTTCATCACGCCGGTCAGAATTTGATACCTGGGCCCGTAAGCTGGACTACTCAGGATATGGCATCCGCTGGAATGTGAAGTTTGAGAGTCGAGCACGGGCCTACGACGCTCGTAATGTGATCAACAAGCTGATCGAAAACGAGCGAGATCGTCAAGAACGTGAAGGTGGTAAGAAGAACTACAATGAATGTGAGATCATTCGCAGCGACTGGGAGGCAGTTAGGAAAGTTAATGATATCCTCTCGGTGAGTAGTTTGCTTCCCATGTTATCTTTGGAAATTGACTCTGACAGTAACCATGTTGTACACCAGCAATTCTACTTCATTACCAAGAAGATGGAAGGCAATATTTCATCGGCCTCCATGATGCTAGCTGAGTATTGGAATATCAAGGAATACCTCCAGAAGAAACTTGCCTCTTTCACCGAACCCGAATTCAATTCGATGATCAACAAGATGATTGCGAAGACCAACATCTACATAAAAGAGGCCTTGGATTGTGATGTGATACTGCTTGCAACTACGCTGAACCCCGCATACCGTCTATCAATGATCCAGCAATGGTTTCCTTCACATCATACCAAAGCTCAAGTCTTACTTGAGGTAGCTTATGGAGAACTCAAATCGGAACTTGATTCAAAGGAAGACAAAAAGGAACCAACTCCGACTCCCACGACTGAAGTTGGTGATAAATCAGGAGAGGAAGACGATATCGATTTTTTCCCTGATGCCGAGGAACCACAGGTCGCTGATGAATTGAGTATCTACCTGGGCGGCCGATAGAAATTATCCCACTCACAAGCAGGTAACTCATTAAAGTGGTGGAAGGTCAGTGATTTTTCTGCACCGATCTGACACTATTGTACCCATCTAACATCTCACACTATCCTTGGCCCCCATCAGGAGCATTGTGGCGAGTTCCCGGTATTATCTCTGCTTGCAAAAGACTGGCTGGCATGTTGTGCCGCCTCGGCAACTGTAGAGCGATGTTTTTCCGCTGCCGCCAATATCTGTGGTCGTGATCGAGGATTGTTGGCTGCCAAGACAATCGAGAGGTGTGTCAGCTCGCACCAATGGCTCCTTCAAGGGATCCAGCCAGATGGGGACTTTGAGGCTGCTCAAAAGGTCCTTTCACACTCATCTGACGAGTGAGAGCAAAAAAAAAGAAGAGCTGTACCTGATAAGGTACCTCCAATCGCCTCTACTAGTACTACAACACCTATAACAATCAAATCTTGATCTCTCTTTACTGTGATTCCGTCGCTTTTTTGCTTTTTTCTTTCTTGAATACATGCCATGGCACCAAAAATGTGCATACAGATAAATACTGTCATTGTCTAGTGGTCTCACAATCCCCCCCACCTCCCAAAGCTTGCTTCCACCCAATACAAAAAAATATTTATCTGTGTATTGTATCGTTTGTCAGATGCAATACATCACCCCAACATTTTGTGCATCGGCAAGGCCAATACAATACACATGTATTGTATAGTTGTGTGCACTGATCCCAATGCAATGCATGATGAGGCGCATGGAGTGCATCGGATGGTGAATGCGATACCGCTTCATTTTTTTGTTAATACAGCCAAATATCTTGTGTATTGAAGACATTTTTGGTGGGTTCAGCCCCCTGAGACAATACACAAAACTTGTCTCACTTTCCAAAGGCAATACATGTGTATTGTCACAGGAAAGTGAGACAAACAAGGATTGGTATTTTTGGGTATCCAAATTCTGAGACGTCAATACAAATAAACACGAGATATTCTCTCTTCTTGCCTCTGTTTCAGTGTTGCTGTCAGCACACAAGTATACCTGCCTCAAGAAGAATACAGCCAAATATCTTGTGTATTGAAGACATTTTTGGTGGGTTCAGCCCCCTGAGACAATACACAATACTTGTCTCAATTTCCAAAGACAATACATGTGTATTGTCACAGGAAAGTGAGACAAACAAGGATTGGTATTTTTGGGTATCCAAATTCTGAGACACCAATACAAATAAACACCAGATATTCTCTCTTCTTGCCTCTGTTTCAGTGTTGCTGTCAGCCCACAAGTATACCTGCCTCAAGAAGAGGAGTGCAGGGAAACCCGGTGGCCCTATCCAAATACCAACGGTGGGCCGCTACACTAACCGTAGCTGTTAGTGTAGCGTAACGCAGCGGAATTGCTGTTAGCGCTAAGCGTAGCATAGCGGGATTCCGCCACAACACCGCTAACGCTACGCGTGTGGGCCGCAAAAAAGGGCCCACTACGCTGCGCTACAGCGCTTTTTAGCAGTTTTTGGCCGCTTTTTCCGCTAAAAGCGCTGTAGCGCAGCGTAGCGTAGCGAAAACCCGCTAAAAAACCGCTAACACTACGGTTTTTGGATGAAAAAAGCGCCGCTACGCTACACTTTTTGGGCCAAAATCGTAGCGGCCCACCACTGAACTTACCAAGACACTGCAATAACCTATGTGTGACCTTGGAGTGTACCCAGCATACCCAGTGGTGTTTGATATTATCAGACAACACCCAAGAGATGGATGTACCTGGCAGATATGCCCTGAGACCCTGGCTGTGGGTCCCAGCAAGCTGGGCCAGGATTTTCTCATACACATTGGTGTCCCAACGGTTTCATTTGTTGGAAGATTCATGTGTTCAAGTCAACAATGTGTGGATTGAGAGTAGTGTGTTGAGCTCATACCCACTCAATCATCAGGTATGCAATTGCAAGAGTTTCAGTACATACAAAAGTGTTAAAGAAGAAACAGAAGCTGAACAAAGGGTGCAACAAGGGAAGAAAGTTGAAGGACTTTGAAAAAAAAAATGATGTGGAGCTCTATACCAAGACTTTTCCTTGAAAAAATAAGTAATCCATCAAGTGCATGTATAAGGTTGAGGTCAACTGGACAAGAAGGAAGATAAGGAACATATTCAAGTCATACATTATCTGCACTGTTTTTGTTTTTGTTTTGTTTTCTGAGAGATGAAGAGGAAAAGAGAGACTAGAATACAAAACACACACACATAAAATAACAAGTACTAATAGTGACATTATTTAGTTAGTTCAAGAGGCTTAAGAAAATAAAAGAGGGGCAAAACTAAACATGATCTTAGAACGAGCCTTCAGAAAAAGAATGATAAAAAAAAACTTGAAATTTCTAAGCAACAAAAGCGAGTATGTTGTAATTTTTTCTTGCTGACTGGAAAGAAGAAAAGAAAAGTTGAAAAAGATCATCTAAGGTTCTCAATCTGAAGGATCAAAAAGCCCTTCTCGTCGTTAAACTGTTCATCTGTGAAAAGAAAGAAAGTTTTTTTGAGATGAAAAGTTCAGTTGGGAAACCAAACAACATGAAATGTGAGTGAGAAATAAAAGAGATGCGAACCATCTTTATCGTTATGAAACTTCCTCAAAAACTCAATCAGTTTCTCTTTATTTCTCTTGAGTATTGATTCGATCGGAGCCGGTTTCCTGGGATTAGCAACAAAGACCTACATATAAACGAGTATCGATATATCAAATAAGCGATTGAGAAGCAAGTAAGCTAATCATCAATCTTGAAGAAAGATGGGACACAAGAGGAGAAAGGGGGGGTTGAGGAGAAACGCGAAGAACTGAACTTTGAATACATGAAAGGCTTCGAATTGGATGTTTTTCGATTTATCTTTCAATAGATTCATCATGATCTTCAGGTTATCTTCGTTCGAAATATACTGATTCATCACATTATAATTCGACCGGTCTAACAGGATCTCTCCCAATAATTTGATTGATTGTCTCTTGGTCACGTAATTTGATGATTGGATTAAGTTGGTATACATCGTGAAAAACTGGTAGTTTAGGAGGAAGAGATAATGATGTGCTCGGAAGTCAGCATGGTCCCTTATTCTGAAAATCAACAGAATTAAGATTTCTATAGAAAGTTTGGGTTACCTTTTCATAATTATCTTCTAGATATGTAGCTACCATACTTTTGTGTCGAGTCAAACATTCTTTGAAACTTGACATTGCGTCACAAGCAATTCCAAACGTAGTTTGCTCAATATACTGAGGAAAATCATAAAACCTGTGTATAATAAAATCCATGAATTAAACAAAGCTTTTGTCAGATTTAAATTTGAAATTTATTTTTGAGCTAGATACTTACCGGTCCGAGTATAGTAAGCTTTTAGCCAAGATTTCATGCCTCAGCATTTCTTTCAGAATCATACCTGTATTGAGAGCTACGTCTGAGTTTTCATAGCTTAGGAAAAAGAAATTCAATGGGATAGAAAATGCATGAGCTGATGAAGCATGAACAAGAAACGGTTTGATTACGCACCCTTTGAGAGCGATCCAAATGATTTCCTCTCGGTTAGCCAAATAATCGACAGTTGGCCAACGGGTACCGATCTGTCTTCTGAGGATCAAATTAAAGATATTCACGACATCTTTCCTAGATTCGAATTCGAATCGACGCATCTGAAGTAAGAAGATTTTCAACAGATCTTGATTATAAATCTCTTGAGCCAGTTGAGCTACAATCTCGGGTGATGAGTTAGATGCGGAGGAGGAGGAGGATGAACTGTTGATGGGTCCTAGTGCTCCGTTGGCGGACATCGGCTGTCCATCTTCTGCTCCGTTCGAGCTCGTCGTTGGTATTGAAGAGTCCTGTATGGTTGGTAGTGAGGAGCCACTGAGGATCGATTTCATCAATTGAAGTGACTTGGTGATATCTTCATTGATCTGGGTTTGTAAGATAAGGTTCATTTTTTTTGTTGTTTAGTTAGCTAGCCAGGGTAAGATGGTGCGAATTGAAGAGCCTGGCTACTGACCTTCTTGGTTAGGTCGACTGATGGGTTATTTTCGAGTTTGTTAAGTGAGTCCTTGATGGTCTTGACGAGGTCCTGGGGTGATTTAGTTTTGGATTTGAATAAGAAAGCCATCGCTTCGAGTTCTGAGTCTGTCTATATATGTTTCTCTCTATTATCTATCGGTCCTTCGTTTCTTTGGAAATGGGCAGTTCGTCTTTGATGAGAAGATATTATTTGACTATATATTTTCTAGGAGATGGTCAACAGCTCGAGACCAGAGGGCGGCGAGAGTGGCAGAGGGTTGTGGATTCATTTCGATAACCCCGGTTGGCTAATTAACTTTGGTCGGGGGCAGCCTTCAAACCCCGGCCTACCCCGGCCGTAAACTGAGACTCATATCAAAACAAGTTGCCATTTCGATACAATATATGCTGAATGTGCATATCATCTCTCGACGAGGGAGTTGTATTCCTTTCATGAATGTATCAAGCCTGGCCTTGAAGACATAGGCCATCTGCATTGATCTCCCCTAGGCTTAGGCAGCTCTAGGCTCTGCAGAGCTCCGTTGATTTTGATCATGCATACATCAAAGGAGGAAACCTGCTGCAACAAGATTTGATCCGTTTGCTTTCCTTTCTCTCTCAAAGAAGAAGATATTCATGTTCGGTTGACTGGTCTTCTCTTGGGCACACCGGCAGGGGTTTAATTAAATTTCCTTACCGTGCAGAAACAGAAACTCAAGTCAAACCATGCAAAGCCACTACTATACATCAAATCATAGAAACTCGGTGGGAACACCTAGCTGGTGAGCTAGACTGATCAAAGTGGATACATGAAAGGCATAAGGAAAGAGTTACTGGATCATGAAACGAGCTATTCTACTCAATTATTCTCGGATGGGCAACCGGCACTCCAACGCACACCATGAAGGTCCATGATGGTTTTGTTTACGTTGGGCTACTGTTATTAGAGAAGTATCAGAGAAGGATATCATAAAAGATAAGCAAAATGGACTCAGTCTTCACTCTAATCAGTTCTACAGATTGAGGTTTCCTTCAGCAAAGAAAGCCAATCAAATGAGAGAACTTGCGAGAAAAATAACAACATGCTAGAATCGATGTAACATGAGGAGAAGTTTTACGTTATAAGGTCAATCCGTTTCTTGTGAAGTTTGTTTGGAAAACCCCAATTACGTACAAAAATAACTGATAGTGAAGATGATGCAGCGATAAACAGATGTCGTGAGGAGATGTCTAAAAACAAAAGTAACTTTTTTGTTCCGTCTTCATATTCAGGAGAAAGGATCAACAGACAACACGAAATCACCTGGATTTTCCGGCGATGGATATCACCATAGCCGGCAGATATGTCGCAATGCCAAGAATATGGGTTGTGGCAGGCTTTTCGGAGTGCGGTACTTTTCCATGGCCTGCTGGTCAAGCAGCAGTTTGGTTTGTCACTTGTATCAGAACTGGTAGTCTGATAGCCAGACACGCTGCGTGTCTAACATTAAAAACTTGAATGGTTGAAGGGACCCAGTTCTTCCGGCAAGTCGTAATCTGATGGGCTTCCCTCCAACGGGATCTCCATCAGACTGGCATTGTGATTGCGGTTTCAGGTCTCGCGTAATCTTTCGATGATTCTTCAAGAGGCGCAAAATATGTACATCGGGAATCGATCGATGGCAGTCAAAAGAGCCTACAAATAGAAAAGTCCGGAGCAGTGAAGCAAAACTTTCTTTTGTGTCGGCGAGTCTGTATGAGATGTCAATTGATGTGATGGCTCGAATCTGACAGAAAAAGAGCACCTATCTATTATCTATAACACCCACATTTTTGTTTCATTAAATGATCAACCTGCATCTCGATAAAGATTAAAGATCAACTATTCGACTCCAAAACATGTGTCCAACTCAAGGCTTCAATCAATTGTAGCAATCAAGGTATCTTTGACATCTCCAGCTGGCACCCAAGCCGGGTATGTAATGATACGCAAGACGCGCCCCACGGCCCGAGTGTCAGGCTGCCTTACAATAAATGATGAGGCATGGGGTGAGGATGGAACTTATCCTATAAGAAGCCCCCTCCCGGCATTTGCAGCGGGAGTTTCTCTGGTCATCTACGCGCGTTAACAATCCCTGCCAGCAATACCACAATGAATCTTATTCGAGTTAGTCGCCCAACAACTTTAGCTTGCACTAGTCTGATTCTGATCAGCAGTCAGATGAAATCATTTCACGCTCTGCCCATGTTCACGCCGAATGCTCATGAGCTTATACCGGGCCATGGGGTGGTCCCAATGGGATTTATTCATAATCCTCCATCCGAACCTGGCTTACCGCTTGGGACCGTATTAGGTGTTCCGGCCATACCTCCTCCCGCTAGCCCTGTAATTCCTACGACGCCCGTGACAGTTTCGCATATAATTTCACAAGATGGAGCGCACGTCTACTTAACGTCGCCAGTAATAGCATCACCTGGCGTAGGTTTAGCCCATTTACCACCCGCACATCCGATGACATTACCGTTGCAATCATATCCACATCCAGCTACAATTGCCTTGCAGCCACTTACACATCCAGAAGCAATGGCCTTGCCGACATATCAGCCAGCCATGAGCTTTTTACCGCATCCATCAGCAGGGGTACCCTTTCAACCATGGGGATCAACAGGGGTTCCTCATCATTGGACCGAGCAGTTTGCTTCGGGTGGTTGTTTAGGAACTCCGACGGATTCAAGTTGGTCTCGACGGTTTCCCGGAACTAGACGGCCCTTGTCAGGTTTTAATAAGCAGGACAAAGTCAAGAAAGCAGGGAAGGAAGAAAGCCAAGGAGAGAATATAACAAATTTAGACCGATCATCTCCATCAGAAACCTCACCCCAAAAAGCAGAGACACCAAGCACAGATCAAATAACGTCATCAGGAACCTCAGCACAGGAGAAGAACCCAGTTGAAGTATCTCCACCTGAGACTTCACCCATTGTACGTAGTTCAGCTTCAAAAAAAACCATAAAGAGGGCTGGACGAAGATTCCGGAATATCAGGGCTAGGAAACTTTTGGCCAATTCAAATGAACATGAGAGATCAAGAAGCGAATACTCTTCTCATGAGCAAGGAAATAAATCATTGGACCGCACTGGATCTAGTACCAGTGAGTCAAAGGAAGAAACGGCGGTGAAAGACGAGTTGAGACGCGATCTTATTCCCGGTGCCATTCCAGAGAATGGTAACCGAGCCGTGAAGAATGAGACAATCTAAAAAGAAGATGTTGGAGAAATCTGAATAAATGAGGAAGAAAAGGTCAAAGAAGAAGATGTCAAAGGAAAGAATGGAAATTCATCTCAAGGCAAAACTGAAGAAGAAACTGGAAAAAAATAGTAGAGGAAAGTGGGGGTACTAAATAGAGCTGGTGGAAATAAATTGGGGAATCAACTATTATAGAAGAAGATGTGTGGGAAAAGAAGAATAAATAGCTATTATCGAGATTGAGAGAGGATCTGACTGTATAGAAACAAATGTGAAAATTCACAAATTGAAGTTCAGAATTAGCTTTTTTTTCAATTATTGGAGGACTTCCTGTTGACCTGGAAGCCCAACTTAAACTGAAAAATTCTAGATTTTAAATTTTCAATCATGTCTAATTTGACATTATCAGATAGCCAATGGGCTTTGGGATTCATTACAAGCTTTAGAAAATCTAAATTAAGATATCAGCACTTATGCCAAGTCCTCCCTTTGGAATTCATGTTTTCAAATTTCTCTTTTTCATGATGTAGATGGTTTTCAATTTTCTATATTCCTACTTGATTAACCTTTCTGATACAGAAACCAGATAAAGCATGCAAAAAACACCAGATATACATATGTAGACAGATTGTTTATTTTCAATGAACCCTAAACATTCTACTTGTTTGTCACATGAGAATCTGATTTTCTTTTACAAGAAAATTTTGATTACATAGGATGGTCAGGTGGTGTCCATCATTTTACCTTACAATCTGCTGGAAGAGTGCAACCACCTTTTTGGATGATGTGATTTTTTAAGTTCTGTGATCAAATTTCAATGGTGGGCCGCTACACTAACCGTAGCGGTTAGTGTAGCGTAACGCAGCGGAATTCCCGTTAGCGTTAAGCGTAGCGTAGCGGAATTCCTCCACGACACCGCTAATGCTACACCACGGGTCGATTTTTTTTCTGTGCTTGCGTTGGCTTGGCCCCGCAGTCAAATTTAGGTTGGCTCAGGTCAGCGCCGACATGCATCCCCTGTATCTACCCGAGCCGCGGGCCCGACGGAAACACTGGGTCTGGCCGACACACCCCTAACCCAAGGCCCTTGATGGAGAAGCCAACCCTCCCGACACAGCTTTTGTCGGCTGGGTCGGCTTGACTGGAGTCGTTTGATGGTGAGCAGCTACCCTAGCCAACCAAATTCAACTCTCGCAAGCAACCCAACGAAAGCTGATGGTCGGGCCGACTTCAACTCTCAGCGGCCATTGCTGCCCTCACCTCGAGTCCGCGGCTCACTCGAAAACTATCATCGCCGATCGGACACACCACCAACACCACCAACTCAAACAAAAAAATGATTCCGGATCAGAAACTGTCGCACACACCAGAGTTTGAGATCCCACCGGTTCCTGAAGCTGTTTCAGCACCCGGTTCACCTCATCAAACCAAAACCAGACACGATGTGATGGCTCCGACTGAGGATACTGGTAGTTTTGAAGAAAAACCTGTGGTGGCTCCAACGGAGGAGCCCGCCAAAGAGGCGAAGCCTAGGAAGGCGGTGGTATGTAATTTCTCTGTAACATCATATAGCTACAGTATCACAAAACTGATGCATTCGTTTTTTTAAATGGCTCAGAGAAAGGATTCCCTTGAGAAGCAAGTCCGTCGCAGCCGTTGTATCTTCGATCAATCTCACGGGGACGGAAGCTTTTCTGCATCGGCCGGTTACTTCTTGAAGAACGACGGACATCAAGAAGGCTCGTCGTCCAAACGCCAACATAAATGAAACCGCTTCATCACCTACTTGCATCAACATCAACAAACCAAAACAAACAATTACTCAATGTTTAGCTCATAGAAACTGTACATGTACACTCACAATTGTACCAATCCTGTATTGAAGCTCAAATCAAATTTGGATCCATTGTCGTTCTTGCAATTGTTGACGACTTGTTTTTAGCTTTTTTTTCTTTCTGATCGACAATCGATCCCCACTTCTTCAATCCATCATGCATAGTATTGACCCACTGAAGCGGTCCAGGTGAAACAAACACAATCTCTGAGAATTTACGATGCCAAACAGTCGATGAGAGAGAAGCTATATTGATGATGTATTGATCGTTGTCCGTGTGTGTTAACTCCAGCTTCTTCTTTTTACTTTTGCGTCGCTCAACAAATCCATCCCCAGTTTCTGTTAATTTACATCCACCATCGTGACAGTTGTGCTGGACATTTAAACCAGCTTCGACACTCTATGAAAAGAAAAACAATCCAACAGTTTGATATCAAAATAAGATCAATCAAGCAATGAATGAAATTATCTTACTTGTGAGCTGACAAAGGTGGATTGAGGTGTTTTTTGGATCTTTCTCATTCTGTAGAAACTGTCTTCATCCATTTTTTGAAACAAGTTTGTGTGAATATAATAAGCACTCCGGTGGAATGGCTTCTGCACTTCCCAGATGGATTTGATTGATCCAATATGTCGATCTTCTTGAGTTTGGCTGGCATTGAACTACAAAAAAAAGACAAGATAAATTTAATTCCACAAGGAGAACTTTCAACTGTGCCAAAAAAATAAGAGAATGGATAAATACCAAAATGAAATAGTTTTTCTTGAGAACTTGCTTTTCATTCAAGCTCAATTCAGATATTTGTTGAATATTGTGGCCAGGATAAGAATTCTTCAGGTCTTCAGGAGTAGGGATTTGTTCATCTTTGAGGACTGAAAGTTTCTTAACAAAAGGATAGGTGATTTTCTGAGGAGAAGATAAAGAATTATTATAGCCCAAAGTTTGCTGGATTAAGGGGTTGTTTTTAAATATATTTGTGACTTGGCTGGAGGATTGCACAAATTTATTTTGTTTTTTGTCAAAGAAGAAACCACCAGAGATAATTTGAGAAAACACATGGTAATTGGAGAATGTAATGGCTATATCTTGACCAGGACTTTGGCGATTGGAGTGGATTGAAGCATTTCGAAGAATACCATTATAACTTTCAAATCTTTCTGTTGCAAAAAGGCATGCAGGACCAAATCGAAGGATGGAATCTGGAAGATGAAGTAACATGTGGAATTTGGGTTTATTAACCCATTGGGCAGAAGCTTGAATCATGTGATTTAAAAATATATCAATATGATTCTTCAAATCAGAAATATATTCTGTCATGTCTTCAATATGAGTTTGAAATATTAAAGAGCCCAGGAGACAGAGTGAAGACCAGATATCAATCTCAGATGGGGTCATGAATTGGAAGAAGACGAAGGGAGCTGCTTGAAGAATTATTCTGAAATCTTTGCCAACTAAACTTGAAGAATATTGAACCAAACTGATGGGTCTAACGGAAGGGATATTGAGAGAATTGGTGTTGAAAGAAGTCCATAAGGCTGTGAGATCATCCTTTTGCGTTTGGTCTAATCCCTTCATGAAATCTCTAAATAAATACTTTACGGCACCAAGTAAAAAAACGTGCAAGACTTCAACAGGAGTATCTTTGACCATGTCAAAACCTAAGAGCAAAAAACCAGAAGACAGAAAAATTTCAGCAAAAGAATTGATAGAAAACCCTGAAGGAAAGAAATAGCCAAAAACAAAAAACCTTTCAGCTCAAAGTAAGGATTAAACATTCTTTTAGGTTCCTTATTTTCCATATCAACCAATTCCTGAGGAACGTCTTGATCCATATCAGATGATAATTCTTCTCCGTCTTCAAGTAACTGAGTTTTTTTTGCATCAAATTTGAATAATTGTTTGGAAAACTTTCGATTGATTTGATCCCAAACACCCAACTTGGCAGATTTCTTGTCTAGTTTATCCAGATTAACAGTTTCCTTGGAATGCGTCCACAGCTTTTTGGAGTCTTCTTTGGTTTTTTCCATAGTTCGCAGTTGATTTGGGCACTATTTCAGAAAACAATGCAAGATTTTAAAAACGTCAAAAAAGACATTAATGAAGAAAATCCAAAAGAGAACAAGAAAATCAATACATTTGATCCATGCAAGTTTTTCTGGGTGAATTGGCAAACATATGGAAGCTTCTTTCTGGCTTTCAAGCTGGACAAACTCAAATCACAGCATCGGCAAGGGTTGAGAGAATTTCCAGGAACTGGTGTGTTGGTAATCTCGGCGTGCATTGGAGAATCAGCCAGAAAACATAAGACACTAGTCATGACATGAACTTCTTGGCAGATGGTGCTATCATATGATGTGAAGCCATTGATAGCCATGTCACTAAATTACAAAGAAAAAAAATCAAAAATAATCAAAATAATGATAAAAATCACACTGGTGCATTCTAAAATAAAAAGACCCACTTTAGCTGTTCAACAACCATCTCTCCTAATTCCAAAGCTCCAGTGATGTTTGATGTGCAAAGAAAATGGCAATTGGCTTGCTGATTGGAAATTTTAGGTGGTAAGCCGGAGAGTGTAAAGTAATAAGAGATGTGTTTATTCCATTTCTTAGATTTATTTCCAGATGTGTCATCGCAGTATAATGTGATGGGAACATTTCGTAGGATTTTTCCATCTGCTTTCTTCCTCCAAGGATTTGGTAGGATGATGTTTGAATTCCATCTGCCACAATCATTAATTTCTTTTTTTGATAAAAAACAAGTATCAAAAACCAACATTAACATGCATGAATGTGTAACTTCTTTGTTGAAGATTTCTTGAAATCTCACCACCAATCTTTCCTCCACAACATTCTGATAGCTTGGAACCATCCTTCATCTTAATTTCCCCATATGTAAGTTCGAATTTGTCAACAGAAATTGTTTCCAAATTTTCATCATGAAATAAAATTTTATCAGGAATTCCAATTTCAACTGTAGCATTTTCTTTGTTTGATCTGAAAGTTGGGGTAGAACACTTTGCAAAAAGGTGGTTTTGCTGAGAAAGGAAGAAGATTGGGATAGTGATTTTAGAAGAATTCAATTGAACTGGTTCAAAGATGTAGAAGTGTTTTTTGTTTGATTCTACCATTTGAACTCGAAGGTCACTAGCTTGATGTTTCAGCCATTTTGTTGACTGAGAAAGCTTGTAGATATTTTTGCCGTGCGCGTCCTCTGGAACAAAATCAATGTGTGGCGCAACCAGAGAGTTCATTAGATCCTAAACAAAAACAATCACGCATACGATTCAGCTTGGCTCTTCCCCAAGAATAAAACCATCAGGTGAGTACTGACATTCTTAATCAAATCACTCGCCTTCAATCCAAAAACGGGCTGACCAAAAATGGTTTCTTTCTTGATGACAGTCTGATTGACCAGCGAACGGATTTGGGCGCGCATCATTTGTAAGGCTTCCCAGCGGGGAAGATTGATGGAGTTTAGAGTAAAGACGACCCGTATTTGATGGTACGAGTCACGCGAGATAAGCTTGTGTAAGTATCCAACAAGCAGGGAACCCATCAGGTACTGTAGAAACCAACAATATGTAAGTTACTTTCATTTTTCTGTTTCCTCTTATTTAATTAATCTTACTCACTTCTTTACTCAGAAACGGATACCAGGCTGAGTTGTCAGCGGAAACCTTTTTAATCTTTTCCTCTTTGCGGCAAAATAAAGGGCTCGAATCGGCTAGAGTGTCCATCGGCAGCTCCGAATCGATCTGACCAACAGCTACACCAACCAAATCCATCCAAGTTGCCTCGGCCTCCTCATCATCTTCAGATTCCTCGATCTCAAACGTTCCCGGAACGATTTCATCTATCTCTTCGTCTGTCGCTTTTTCATTGTCGGCTTCCGAGTTTGCCCCACTAGGATCTTGATTGCAATCGATTACTGGCTCAAGCTGACTGATCTCTTCATCGACAATCATTCTCTCCCCATTTGAAGCATCAGCCGCCACCCTACGAACATCCTCCTCGTCATTTCGCTTGGTGTTCAGTTTCACAAGATTTTGATGTCGTGAGTTTTTACAGTGTCTATTTCGGTCCTTTGTTGTCCTTCCTTTACATAGCCAACACTCATATCTTCTCCCCTCTGTTGTATTCCTTTGCAAAAAATCTTAAAGCAAGTGGAAAAGTGAGTCTCTTTGCCGTCAAATTTATAAATTATATCCAGAACAAAATCAGTTCAAAGCTCACACTTGGAATTTGTATCCATGTTTTGACCAAGTATAACACCTTCAACTAACTGCCTTGCTTTGTTTTTCTGATCGACACGTTTTTTCCACTTCTCAATAAATATCGTATCGGAATTCAATTCTTGACAAGTCAGAGGATCGAACTGAAGGAAGAGGTCTGTCTTAAACTCTTTTTATCGATTTATCTTGGACCGTTGTCCTTTAATGTTTTCACTCTTTTTTTCTGTTTCAGATTTTCTTTAAAAACTGATCGAAATTCATTCTTCCTTCTCCCACATTTTCCTCTCCTCAACCTCACCAATCACCCAGTTTGTTGAGTTGAACCGATAAAGTTTCTCTTTTGATTCTTCTCTCTGATCGAAGCTTCCTCCCTCCCTTCTGATCGAAGCTTCCTCCCTCCCTTCCGATCAAAGCTTCCTCCCTCCCTTCCAATCATGTTAGACTTGAACGAGCTCATTCAAGGAGATCCTGATGATCCTGCCACTCAACTTGAGGCAGGTGATGATGATCACTACGATTCATCCTCCGAAGAGCATGATAGTCCGCCTTCCACCCATATGGAAATCACCGATCCCAACAACATGTTTGCCGCTTTACCCGCCCACGATGTCACCATGACCGATCAATCCTCTTCCTCTTATCCTAACACAAATATCGAGCAAATTTGCTCTGATCTTCAATCCAAATTGAAGCTCAATCCTGAGCATCTGGAGATTGCTCTTCTCGAAAGCAAGGTTTGTTGATCGTCTCTTTTTTCACTTCATCATTTCATTCTACACCCGGACTTCATCTCATCTCTTTTCAATATATCTCTTCCCTCTCACCAGGCTACTCCCGAAGCGAGACACGCGAGCTTGGTCTTTACAAATGGTGCGTATCACCAAATCAACTATCAAGACAGCGGTTCACAAAAAGCGGGCTTTGCGTATGGCAGCACTTTCAGAGTAAGCATTTTGAGCTCATCAATCTCATGTCCATCGTTTACTTACAAGTCAATTACTTCTATCTGGTACATACCAATCACCATCAGGACTTCGTGAGAGCTAGCGCTCGAATGTTCTTACTCAAGCCAACCCTTGAGGCGTACTCCAACAATCCACACCAAAACGGCGAAATACCGAAAACCTTATTCTACCTGACACTTGTAAGTTGCTCTCCTTTCTCTCTGATGTCGTTTCATCTAAGCAGCTCTTTTGATTTTTAGGATGCTGTTGAAAAACAGCCTGATGCATGGAAGACTGATCACCTTCCAACCAGCGGACTTCGGGCCAATCCGGATGTCCTTAACCACTATCGCGAGGTCATCGGCGACCTTTTAAAATACCAACGCAGTAATTTGCGTACACTGTTGTGTTATTTCTTTGTATGTTTTTTTTCAATCTTTATTGATTCTTTGTTTATATATAGCTCCTAGCAGACATCCTTGTGACCAAGAAGAAACCGGTGGTTGGGGTAATTCCTAATCGTGGGGAGTTGTTGGCTTCGGTAAGTGTTTGGCCGATTGCAAACTGCTATCGGTATACTTACCTTTCACTTGTCCTTTCTAGATTTATGAAGAGCTCCCACCTAAATCGTCAAAGCTCAACAAGTCCGAAATTAAGCATCAAGTCCGTTCAAACTTTGCCATGCGAGCTCGAATGTGCTATGCCCGTCTGGTCATGGTGCATTACTATGTACACAGGTCTAAGAAAGAATCTCAGTGGGTCGAAATCGACGAGCGATTGGGTATTCTCCGAGGATCATCTTTTGATTTCCAAAAGAAGTAAGTCTTCCACACTTTCCCTTCCAAACACTACATATACTAATTGCTGCTTGTTCATTCCAGACATGCAGACGTTGTCTTGGAAAAAGACGCGGCACTCTTCTCACACAAGAAGAAGTTCTGTGATCTTTCACACACAGACCTCACCGTTCCTACCCTTGAAGATGTCCGAAATGCGATTGCTACTGCTCACTCTCCAGGTTTGAATGAATAGCCTATCCTATCACCCGATGCCACCAAAAGAACCAACCGAGTTCTCTTTTTTACAATAAACTATGAAAATTTAAAGTTGTTGTACTTTTCTTTTTATTCATCTACTCAGTCGGGTTTCCTGGAAAGGAATCCTGCCGGGTCACGTGCTCACCAGAAATAAATGCAGTATTGGATTCCTCATTCAGGCGGTTTACAAACCAAAAAAAACCACCGGATCATTCTTGTATTTTTTTTGCCTCGGTTTTCACCTAGATCCGGTCGGTTTTTCTAAGATGAAAAACCGACCAATTCTTTTTTTTTTGGCACTTGCATTCTTGCCTGACGTCTGGCCAACGGCAAACTCTTCAGTCGGCCATTGACCTGAAGCCATCGGAGGTAGTCTCACGTGCGGCACTGAGGATACACCCAACCTAAGCCCGGCGTTGGGAAGTTTTGCCAACGGCAGGCACTCACGTAATCCCGGCGTTGCCAGCTCGCCGACCGCGGGCCCCCATGTAATGTCCGCGTGGGAGGGTTGGGCCAACGGCGGCTCCCGACACCTCCCGCATAGAAACACACCAGCCGATTAGGGCGGGGTCGGTAGGGTTGGTTCGACGTCGGCTCCGACGTCGGCCCCCGGTTGCAACTAACCCGTGGTGTACGCGTGTGGGCCACAAAAAAGGGCCCACTACGCTGCGCTACAGCGGTTTTTAGCGGTTTTTAGCCGCTTTTTCCGCTAAAAGCGCTGTAGCGTAGCAAAAATGCGCTACAAAAGCGCTAACACTACAAAATTTTGGCGCAAAAAAGCGCCGCTATTTTTGGGCCAAAAGCGTAGCGGCCCACCGCTGGATCAATGATCTTTATGACCCAAGACAGCATTTTAAAATTAAGAGGGGGGTGAGTTCAAATGGGTCTGATTAGTAAAAAAAGATTAGAAAAGGTCTGATGCAACACCAGGCCATCCCAAATTGATGCAGTGTAGAGAACCAGTTGGAGAAACTGAAACCAATTGCCCTCAAGTTTGAATGGTTACTGAGGCTTGGGGTCAAAAGCGGACTCCAAATTCACAGACCAAAAAATTGCTGGTTTTTGGGTTTATCCTCAAATATTACATCTTGATGCAGTTCCTTTCAATGAAAAATTCCCCTCCATATTTTCAGAAACTCAACATTCTCATCAAGATAACTCAGGAAGAGCACAATGAGAGCTATTTATGCAGAAAAGGTATTGTTCACCAGATAAAATTTTCAAAATAAAAAAGCCATAAGTTTGTGATATTGGAATTAGAAAACAAATTAAGATATCAAAATTCTGGAGCTTATGAGATTAGAAGGGATTGTGTTTACACAATTATTCAAATTTATTAATTTAAAATAGATAATGAAAGGGAAAAAATGCCAAAAAAAGATACATCAAAATCTAAACCAGGGGGAAATGGATGGTAGACTTGGTGTGGAACGTCAACATTATCAGCTGTTCGGGCCTCCAAATACTACTCTAGGGTTTTTGGTTTAACTTCAACTCTGAAAAACAAAATTTAACTTTGGGTTTAGACTATATATGAATCTGAATGCTAAACTGATAATTTCTTTTGTTTCAAAACGCTTCAATTTTTACTTCTTATTTTCAGTCCAAGTATTGGTTTTCCTCCATAATCCTGATCAAATTCATCACAATCTTCTGCTTGTCCCCAAGCCACCGATCGAGAATGGTTTCCGGAGATTGGTTTTCAAACAATCTTCTCAAATCTGGTCGATCATTCTTCAACCAATCCTTCAATTCGTTATTGTTTTTAACCATTTCATGTGCTTCTGTCATTTGTTGAGAGATATTTTTAAGGCTTCTGCAATAATATTCGTGGATCGATTCGCTGTTGAGTATCAGATAATCCAATAGAGAAACCTGACCACGTTTGGAGATAGATGAGACAATTCCATAACTTTTAAATCCTTTTGCCATGTATGATACATACTTGTACCTAGAATACGACAAGAGGGACTTATATAAGCCGAAAAAATATTCCATTTCGCCAAATTCATGGCCTTCAAATGTCTCCTTAATGATACCTGGGTGAATGTTAGTTTCAATGAAGTCCAACACTTCACAGACTGCTGAAGTGGCAGCTCCTTCGGCATGGCCATGTGTATTGATTAGAAGATTTTGGAGATTTGTAACATCACGTAAGGACTCCTCTGGGAAACTCGAGCTTGAATCACGTTGCTGGTTTGCACCTGCCAACAATGCTGGATGTTTTGCGTTTTTTCTAGCTTTAAATCTATCGATGTAGCTTCCTATTGAGAAGAATTGACGGAGATCCTGCCATTCTTGTGATTCATTGAAGGCCTGCAGGCTAGTTTCTGTAAAAAATAAATTATTGATTTCCAATCGAAATTCGATGATTGATTTATCTTCCTCGCTTAGATCTGTTTTTTTTTGTGAACACAAAACCATCAACTCCAAATTCAAAACTATTTTGTCGATATTATCAATTGAAAATCAAAGCCTAAGGAGCTTACAATGAAAAAAGCGAAACTCGGCTGGCCATGACCATTGTCTTGTGACTTCTGTTACTCCCTGTGAATCCGTCACACGCAAACGTATATCCTGATCAAGAAAGTTAAGATTGTAAAAACTTGCGTGTAACAACATTTCATTGTTTCTAAGAATTTTATTGGTCAAATTTTCCTGATTGATGAAGCCTTCTTTGAACAAGAAGTCCACAAATTTCAACAAGTAAGGATATATTTTCTCTGGGTGATTTACATCATCTTTGTAATGCTGAATATCATTTTGTGGTTTGCAAAGATCCATACATTTCTTGATCCAATCAACCAAATTTTTAACAAGATTTTCCCTTGCTTGCTTTCCGTTGGATGTAAACAGTTGAACAGGAAAGCCTTCAGCCCATTTTGGGATCATGGTAAGTGGTGCATTTTTTGAAAGTTCTTCAACTTCTATGTCATATTTGCCAATGTCCTGGCACTTCAGTACCTCGAGAACTGTTATTATCCTTTGGGATCTACGAATGGATTTAGCATTTTTACTCTGTCTTGAAGATTGTGATGCAGCATTGGCAAATTTGTTGAGTTCTTTGACATTATCATTGAGCAACCTCAACCTTCCTAAAAATTGTAAAAATATGATCTTTCAACACTTCAGTGAAGATGGGAAGGACTTGAAGGGAATTATGAAACTCACTCATTCTGTTGTTCAATTCTTTCCTTAGTAGAACTTAAGGGCTTCTATCAAAATCAATTTTATTTCTTTCTGCTAGGAACTTGCTAGAAAATAAATAATGCGCTTACACTCCTCTTTACTCAGATTCTCTGAGTTTGGAAAATATCTCTTCTGAGAATCAATGATTCCTTTGTCTTGTTCAGTCAAAGAGGCTTTCTCTGTGAGACGTTTTGAGGAATTCAAAAACAAGAACTCAAATAATTATCAGAATTATTACAGTAATAAATGATGGCTAATTGGATTACCGGAGTGACAGATTTACCTATGTTCCAGAGTTCGTCTTTGGAAATCTCAAAGATAGGCCAATCCCCCTTCAGGACTGTAAAGCGAGCTCCCTCAGAACTAAGGGTCACGGTGACGGCTATTAAGGGAGTTCACAATCAGGAGATTCCCAATTTTTCCATGGTAATGCAATTGACTTAACAGATCAACTTACTGGTATGAAGACCCAAATACTTCACTTGTAGAGCATATTCCTTCCAACTGTCGAGATCAGATACCCTATCTTGGAAGAAATTCACTAAGTAATCATTCAAATTGGGAGAATCATCAGTATCATTAGGGCATAAGTGCACATTTGATGTGTGAGATTGAGTGGTAGAGTTACATTTTTTAAGCTCCACAAACTCGACCTTTTCACTTGAAAAGTTGGAAACCCGCTCAGCTATGCTTGCTATGATTTTTTACAAAGGGCAAAAAATAATTGTTCCGGAAAATATTAGCCATGAGAGGGTAAAATCGTGCTCATCAAGCACTGATGTCGAACTGGAATTGCCTTGAATGGAAAAAAATACGCACTTTTGTGGCAAGGTTTACCCGACTTGAAATTTCCCTTTGAAGATCGTTTCTTGGATCCATTATTTGCTGAGAGAAGCACAAAAGCGATGCATCATTAGCATGACTGTTTCATCAATACCTTAGCCTTCGAATGGAAGACTTACATTGCTCAGGATTGCGTGTCCCTTCTGCCAAAGGAAGATCATGCGCCGGAGCTATTCTTGCTGTAATTTTTGGTAGGGAAATTGAAAGGAATAATCAAACAGTTAAGGCTGAGATCAACAGCATGAAATTGAGTTTTTAGACAAAAAATATGTACCATTACAGTCAACAGCATCGCCATAACGTGGCACACCAAGAGTCACTGAAGCAGGGGGAGGATTTGGAGAAATAGTAGCTGAAATAGCACAAAATCCAAAAATAATGGACTGGAGCAACATCTGATATCTGAGACTGGTGTTGGTAAATTAACAAGATGTGAATTTGGGAACGCGTTAATTGTCAGTAGTCTGAAGGCACAGGAAATTGGAAAGTAGCGGCTGGCACAGACGGGGTCGGCGCAATGTGTTCCTTTTCGTTTTTCTGAATCCAAACAATGTCGCCATTTTCTGGACTTCAAGGAGCTCAGTAAACGAACCCATCCCTTGCTCGGACCACAAGAGAACATTTGATAATACAACTGTATATTCATTTCCAAAGCATCCCTCCACCGAGATGCAGAACATTCCAAAGTTTTGGGTCACATCGAGGGTGATTACCAAGATAATCGGGTGAGGACAGACTACGCGGACTACCAAGTGTACCGAGTGGCCCCCGTAGTCATTGAAACAGCCCCGTCCAAACAAGATTGGCCGATGAGTTCAATTGATCTCGATGAAAAGCCTCATCGCTGGCAGGAAGCATAGTCTCGTGTGCAGTAATAGCAATATGAGGAATTATGGAGCTGCTGACCGCATAACATGAAGTGAGCTCGACGGAAGTCGGTGAAGGTTAGTCTCATTTCCGGTAAGCCACGGTTCGAAAAAGACACAAGTGAGCTTGACGAGGCTCAGTGTCAGAACTCCGTGATCAGGAAAGCCTTGTGGATAGTCTTGTCTCTGGCAATATCGAGCCGCACAAGGAAAAATTACCAAGCCGTCGTCTTACAATTATAAACAAGTATGCCTAGCCGGGAGCCATATTCGCCTTATGAAAGAGGCCAGACATAGATATGCGACTTTCAACTCTTCTTTCCAACTGGATGGGCCCAGATGCATAAGCCGCGACCCCTTCACCTGGGGGAGTCCCCTGGATGATGGCCTGCGGGATCTTGCCCTCGGCACCTCGCACCCAGACGTGCCCGGAATGCAGAATGTCAGAAGAAGCTTAAATCGGACCTTCGACTGATCATCGTATTCGGTAAGACCGGCTAATTACAGTATTGCCTTCAGACATGACCCAAACTAGACGACTCGTCCCGTGACTCTCCGCGGGTCAAGGTTAGAAATGTTATGGCAAGGGTGGTCGGGTTTCAGGCAACATTGACACTGCGGGTTTCTTGCCCACCCAGCATCGAAGCGCAGCGAAACCATTATCAACAGTAACGGAACATGCCAAACGGCGGATGCTGATATAGGCGGGAAAGATGTCGAAGTGAGTCCAAGTTGGGTTCAAAGTGGAGTTGTGACTCGAAGGGATGAAAAAGTGACGTGGTCATCTGGGAACGTTTTGTTTCATCCATCCATACATAGGTATCAAGAAATAGATATTCGTGAAGTTATTTATGTATCTCAAACATGCGGTCATTGTAAAAACCAGGCTTGATCAAACCGCTTTGCTAATCATGACCTCAGGTGCCACGTCGACATGTCTCCTATGTACAACAAATCTGATAAATCCCAGTAATCAATTGTTACTGGAAGCTTTGAGCTCCCTTGATCTACCTGTGGTTTCCTTCACGTTTCTCATTCATTGAGCCTAACATGCCTCGACAGGTCACCCAACCAGCAATCTTTGCGACATATGGTCTGGTTCTTATCAACGTTCAGCTAGAATCCGTTCATGGGCTCCCCATGAATTTTAATTCAAATCATGCCTTGTCGTCATTCCCACAAGGCCATCATGTACCAAGCAACTGGATTCCAAATGCAAGTATGGCCCTTCCACTAGAATTCAGTTCCCCTGGGAGTTTTTACCCGCAAGCCATAGTCGTTGGTGCCCAGCCAGTAGATCAGTCGACTGCGGCTTTTTTGGGATTACCCACTGTGATCAGTCTTTCAGGGAACTCATTGTTGCCACTTAATCCGGTTGATTCAGGATCACTGACACTTGTAACAAATCCCAGAGAACCACATCATTTTCCATCAGCAGCATCATGGGAATCAATCCATCCATCACCTGGAGCTAACCACCAATCATCTTTTGGGCCAAAGAGCATAGGCTTTCACCCACAACAGGCTCATTTTTATGGCCGTCCACCAGGAAAACTGCAAGAATTATCCGACAATTGGAGACCACATGATGAAACTTCTATGTATCAAGCAAATAATCACCAAATCCAAATTAACAATGACCATGTCCAAGTAAACAAATACCAAAGCTATCAAGTAGACAACTACCAAAATCAGACCAAAAATTACCCAAATCAATTGGCCAGTTTCCAAAATCAAGTCAACCAGATCACAAACACATGGCAAAGTGCACCATATAAATCTTACTCTGAGTCTAGGGCACACAGAGGTCCCCCAACACATGAATTCAATCCTTCACCTGGGAACACAAGCACTTCTGGCACAAATTCACTTCATCAAACACACAAAAAACTCATTGAAAGTACTGCTTCCAACAAGTCTTTCAGCCCCCAATCAAAATATTGCAGAACTGTTAGCACAGACTCTTCACCTCAAATGCACAGAAATCCAGATGAAAGAAGTCATCAATTGCAATGGAGGAACTCTAATTTTATCAGTAAAATCCAACGAGCTAGAGAAGACAATGGTCAAAACAAAGGAATTCACATGATGCATGCAGATCAGGAATCATCTGGAGAGAAGGAATCATCTGGATCATCCCAAAAAAGCTCACCAGATAAACCACAAAAAATAGCAGGAGAAAAATTGGAGGAAAGGTACAATGTCAAACAACCAGAAGCTTCTGGATTAATCAGGAGTAAGTCATTCAGTGAATTCAATGAAAAAACTTCAGGTGAAGGGGAGTTTGAAGTGCCAAGGTACCTTGGCCTAGCAAATAGAAAAAATAACCCCAGGATATTTGAGGAATTTCATCCAAAAAGGTTCACAGGGGAGCCTTTCCCACTAATTCAGAAAGGGAAGAATGAAGAAAAGGAAGGCTCAAAATAGGAAGGAGAGATTGGAGGATATAGCAAGGATTAAAAGATTGAAGATGCAGGGAATTTGAAGGAAAAAAATAAAAATGAATGTAAAACCAACATGCAAGGTGAGAAGCAGAAAAGTGAAAATATGAATAAACAGAAGAAAAATGTCAAGTAAGAAGGAAAGATGTAGGTGAAAAAGATATGTGGAAATCTACAGAAACTGAGGAACATAGGAATGGGGAGAAATCCTTGGAGGTTTAAAAATTAAAAAAGTCCATATTTTATTAATTTTTATGATGTGGATTTGAATTTTGATCATAAAAAATATTTTCAGATGTCCTCTTGTTTATTTCATTTTTCAATTAGCTCTACAACCAATTCAGATCTTCTATTATAGGTAAAATAAAATGAGCAAGGATATACAAAGAGAGATTCTATAAAAAAAATACATCAATACATCATTTGAATCATGATTCATGTGTATATTGATGGTATTCTAGAAAAATTTCCAAATCCCTATCAGAATCTACAAATAAAATATTTTTTTGGTCTTGGAACCACAACAGAAACAATGGAGATGATTTTTACACCTTAATTATATCTTCAGGAGTCCACCCCATGAATTAAGGTGGGATGCTTAATTCCTTTTCAAATTAAGTATGTGTGGTGGAGTTAACATCTTCAAGTCATGACCATGGAAAAGGAGACAATCAGCCTCTTGCCCTAGAAGAACTTAGATAAAATCACCATCTAAATGATTTTGTATGTGCTACCTTCAAGTTCCACATCACATAGTGCCGCTGTGAATGTGTGTCATCATTCATGTGTGTGTTGTTTTGTGACATGCCACAACAAACTTAACTGAGTCCCCTCCTGGGCACCAAGCACCCCCCTCCAAAGGAGGGAACTTATGCAATAATGCAGCTTTTTGTCCTGAGAGGTTTTTCAGATTTGGCAGAGAAAAATTTATTTTTTTAATAACATTTTCAAAAAAATACCAATCATGAAACCATAAAGACCACAGTGAAGGCCTTTGATTTGCCTTCTACCTCATCAAATTTTGTGCCCCTAGCATTCTTCCTTCATTCGGAAAAGAGCCTTAGAAGACCACTAATAGAGCATTCCTCCAGGTACCCCAAAGGGACCAAGTACATACCCTTCCTTTGGGTTAAAAAAAGTGACACATCTTTCCTTTTTTTAATTATACTGACAGCTACTACTCAATTAAAACTGTATTTGCTACTTCAGATCAAGGTTATGATCCAGGCCTCTGGGTCCGGTTACGGTGCTCCCAACATCCAAGCCTGGCATATCCGGCTCCAATGCTGGGTTCCCAATGGATTTGTGACCTCCATGTAAAACCTTCCAAAACGGCCTGGGAGAGGCCAAAACAGGGGTTTTTTTTTCTTGTAAGAAGTAACTATAATAAAGTCTAAAACCACAAAAAACCCTACATTTCTGCCATAAAGGCCTATTTGTGACACATAAAAAGATCTGAGTGGATACCAGGTTCCTGGAAGTATCTGAGGCCCGACCCAACCCAGTACCCAATCGGGTAGCGCCGGATCTCTGGGGTCTGGATTGGAATCTTACTTTGGATACGTGAGCCAATGCTCCTGGACAATGACAGACAGAAACCCTGACTCACCTGTTGTGTTGACATGTTTCTTACTGATTTTGGATGGATTAGAGATGGAGTAAAGATACCAAAAAAAAACAGCTATTCCAAAAATGCTTGTCCAACTTGCCTTGGAAATTTGTATTTTCAGAATAGCTGGACTTCTCGCCTCCCACCAAGAGGATTGGAGTTTTTGAGGCAAAGATACTGAGGTATAAAGACAAGCACTTTTTGCATACTTTTCACGTCAAAAAACTTGATTGTTTTTCGGGGGGACTTTCTTAGTTCAGGTCGATGTCACAGTTCCTGTGCCTTGTGTCACATGGGGTTGTGACATCTGTGATAGCCTTTCCACACTGGTCCTCCCTCTGGGCCCAACAGCTCATCTCACACAAACCACACACATCGAAGTCATCGATTCACGATGGGTAAACTGAAGTAAGCTACCCTTTATCATCCTCACTACAGACTGACGAGGGCATTACTGGAATTATTCTGACTTCCTGGAAATCTTCTTTCGGTAGCATTCTGTACCACAAGAGCTATCATGTGTACAACGTACGTCACGCCATTCAAGACAAGCCGATAGATTCTAACCCTCTTAACACAAGCACACGACCCAAAGCTAAACTGATATTATCTTCTATTGCACACGTCGAAACGAGCAGCGAGAAAACGTAGAACGAGTCAAGCGTGATGAGCTGCGAGCAGAACTGGAAGCGGAAGTAAAGACTCAATCGACCATTGCGGCCAACTCTGAAGCTAGATTAACACTGCTAAGGAATCAGAAGCAGCAGCTTAAACATGAGAGCTCTCGGTCCAAAGAACGTAGGATCGAAAAGGCATTGGAGGATCAACTGAAAGGGAAGACAACCAACCCCAAGATCTTGTCAACAAACGAAAGAGAAGAAGAAGGAGAAGAAGAAGGTATCCAGTCGATTCAGCAATCCAGCTCTTCCCATAAGACAACCGACAACTCATCAATCATCGACCCTAAGAACGGACACATCAACTTTTGGTCGGGATTGGAGAACCAATCGACTTCAAAGGTATTCGGTAAGAATGCCGGCTTCGAAAAGAATCCAGCATATATGAATGATCTGAAGAAAAAAGACGAAAAATGGGAGGAATTGATCACGATGAGATTAGATAAACCGGCGCATGAATTGAATCCTTGGTATTCCCAAACTGATCTCATCAACGGAGAAGATAAGAAGCTTTCTGATAGGAAGGTTCAAGAGAGAGTGTCAGTGACGATCTATCTGTCTTCCTTCAATCAACTTTTGGATGTCTTCCGGTTTCTTATCAACTGTTTAGAAAACAATGATCTTGATGTTTGTTTGTTTTCATCTAATTCAATTTATATACCCCAATAGTTCCAAGGATGAAGGTTTTAAACAACAAAACGATCCACTCACCTTCATCAAAAAGAGTCTATATCCATCAAGTACGACACAATACGACAAGCGAAAACGGAAAGAGCGACAGGCGTCCCGTTCGCCCTCACCAGTTGCCAAGACATCGCGACGTGACGAGTCGGATGAGGAATCAAACTACATGCCCGCGTTACCGCCGAGCCATAAGAAAGCTTCCTCGTCAGCCACCAACGAGCCAACTGGGCCCAGGATATTGAAAGTTGACATCTCGGCGGAACGGTCGAAAGCCCAAGCATTACTCAAACGGCATCGCAAGGATAATGGGCCAGGAAGTTTCTCGGAAGCAGGCACCCCTCGGTCGGGTTATAGCGATGTCTATAACCGCGACGAGATCGATGCCATCAAGAGACAATCTCGCCATCGACATCAACGTCCTCAACATCACCACTCCTCCTCATCGGTCTCCCGCAAACCAAAGCGATATTGGGATTGATTAAAGATCTTCTCAGTTTAGCGTATCTCACTCTTGAGAAAAATGTTGTATTACTTGGTTACCTTTCGATTGTTGTGAAGTCGAGTTCTTGGTCAGCTGGAGAAAGATACTAGCTCGACTACTTGTAATAAAAGCTTTTAAAAGTTTGTTGTAATGGCTCTCTGGAAAATTGACATTTGTCGCTGGGCTTCTCCAGCCTCTTCAAATCCCAAAAGAGCCACTTTCGGACAAGCAGAGTAAAGGCCCCATGGGAGTATTTTGAGCAAAATCACATCACTGCACTCATTTAATGCGCTCCACATCTTGAGGGAGAATTCAGTTGGACTTCAGATAAATTTCGGTTTTTCAAATCAGAGTTTAGGCTCAAGTAGTTCGATTGCCTTGTCACTGAAGGCTTTCTAGAATGCCCATCGCCCTCTCTGCAAATAGTATCAGCCCAATCAAGTGGCACAGCCGGCGGCGGGTGCGCGAAACGCGCCGGGTGGATCCAAGTTAGAGCGTTTTGGTGGCCAGGGGTCAGGAGGAGGCCCCCCAAGAACCACAAGTCGGACAACACACACACCCAGGAGATTTCCAAGAACATTGGTTGGCGGGATCCCGAAAGGTGAGAATCAAACAATTCTCCAGTCGTGGTTGGAGGAAGACTTCGAAGGTGTTCGCGATTAGAAGATGACTACAACTCAGAAACGACCACTCGGTCTCAAAGGCCGGAAGCAACAACAACAGCAACAGGAGAACGAGGACCGAGAGAAGAAGAAGGCTCGACTGACGGGAGAGGACAGCTCATTCACTACGGTAGCACTAGCCAGCTCTTCCAACAACCAAACAGACCAGCCTGCCGATGGACTCACCTTGGAGGACTTGGTCCAACTGAAGAATCAGGCTGACGAGCTGATCGACAATCCCACCGGACTCGAAGAGGATGACGACCAACTCGTCAACTTGCTTCGGGGAATCTGTCATGAAGCTATCCGTCAAATCGAAATTACAGAGAAGAAGGAAGAAGAAGAAAAAGCAAACGAAACTAAACAAGAGAAGCCAGAAGAAGAAGCAAAAGAAGAAAAGCAAGAAGAAACAGGAAAAAGTTCTTCCTACCTCATCAACAACCTATCTCATCAACTACTTGGATGGGCTTCACTCGAGTTGGGCATCTTTCTCACACTCCATCAAAATCCCGATCGATTCACCCAAGAAGATGAACCCAAGTCTCTTGAAGCTTGGCTCTCGATCGCCTCCAAAGTACTCGACAACTTGCCATTCCAGAACCCGCATGAAAACTCGGGAATGCCCAGCGATCTGCAACTACTTGCGCCATCGCTCTCGCTTCTCAAGTCCGGGAAGCCGTCGGAGGTAGCCCAGATCCTCCTGGATTTCGAGCGTCAATCCTGGAACCGAGAACAATCAACTTACTTACTCCGAACGATCGACCGGATCATCCTTCTCAAGTCCGAGATCATCTCTCAAGATCCCACACCGATCTTCAAGATCATCATCAAATTGTTAGAAGCCATTCTCAGCAAAAATGATTCAGAAGGTGCCGATGCGAAAAGCTTCCAAAGGTTACTGGATCAACGCTTAGGAGACTGCCACCTTGCACACGGCTCTCTACTAGCCGAAATGCTCGAGGCCAAGTACTACCCGGAACAAGACGAAGAGGAAAGTAACGAGGAGGAGGAGTTTGCAATCGACATTCAAGACCCTACTTATATACTTGCACTTGAAGATCTCAAGCTAGGTTGGCTCTCTTATACACTCATTCTTAAACAGCTTCCGTTTCAAATTGCTCATTTGATTGTTCATCTTTCAGCCGAAAGAATTTTCTCAAAATTGCTCGAGGAGATCGACGAAACAGCCGAATCGAAGGACGACCTGAAATCAAAAGTAAAAAATCCTCCCCTCTTGTTTTTTTTTTTTTTTTCAAATTTGCAAGACAGGAGAGGACCTGGGTTCCTAACTGCGAATCAATTGTTTTACTTTTGTTTATCTAGCTTGACGAGACGCTTCTCACGATAGGGAACCTATTGCCACCTGGCTCGGAACGGGAAGAGTTATACCTTCGCGCGGGTCTGAGTTCTGATAAAGAAGAAGAAGATGATGATGGAAATGATGAAAAATGAAGTTGTAAGAAGATCGAGTCCTGTTGTATTGTAGCCAAAAGAAGTTTTTATGTCGCCTGTCATGCCGCCAGAGTCATATCCTCATTAACTGCCGTGATTAGATGAGATGAGTCGTCAACGAATCTCGAGTGAACGGCAACTAAGCACATTGGAACGAACCTACAGTATCCCAGATATGGTGGCCCGGTTCACGCTCTTCTTACCTTGCTCGCGATTGATAAGATGATAGCTCTGGAAAAAGACATTGTAATGTCTTCAGTCGTGAAAGCTGTCCTACACCTTGGCTCCCAAAAAACCACAGGGGAATTTTTTATGTGCCCAGTGGATCTGGGGCCATGCGGAAGCGGATTGGTATGTAGACATAGATTTCAGTTGATGTTACAAACTCGTTTCCAGAGGTGTGTGACCTTCAATCATATTCAAGGAGGGGTTCTCAATTGATTGAAGCTATGTACACTATCAATCAGTTGACGAAACATAACACTATTACTCTACCAACGTTCAGACTATCACAGCTGCAGTGAATGCACTGCACAAGCGGCAAGAAGAGAGAATCCTCCTTGCTAGACCCAAAGCCCTCAATCTCCACCAATTCTTCCAACCTGACTGCTTGGCTGAACTCAGCTCTGCACAAAGCCGCAGCGAAAGGTTATCAACATGCTGACAGTGGGAGTCATTTCCCTTTTGATTTGGTGCGGATCAAATATGAATATATATCTCGACACCTCGACTGGAAAAACCCACCATGATGTGTGACGATGTAGGAGCCTAGGAGGCCTGGGGGGATGTAACGAGTGCTGAAGTCGACTGTGCCCTATGCCACTGGCTGATCACATCACACCTCTCAAGTAACATGTCAAGACCCTGTGATGAAAGTTGCAGATTGTTTTCTACCAGCTGCATAATATAATACATTTGATTCTCACTCTCAGAGCAGAATGCATTCAATCTCAGAGTGACCTAGACACGGGCACGTCACCTGCAGGAATATCTAGCAAGTAAATACATTGGACTCTCGAAAGCACGGTGCTTGTCGTATGTATCTCTAGGACATACTCAACGCGTCTTGCGCCTCTGGAGGGGGGGATGGACTCGTCTGGAAGAAACGTTTGAAACGGAAGGATACTCCATGACCTGCCAAGTGGCCTCTTGGATCTCTTCATGATGATAATATTTACATCCATTGCAAGGAGAGATGGACCATCAATCTAGAATACACATCCATGTGGCTGTTCCTTCAACCTGCTTTTCCAGAAAGAAGAGCTTTTTTTTCACCCCCCCCCCCAAGTTTTTAGAAAACTATCTTCTTCCAAACACTTGTTTTGTTTCGGTTCAGATGCGGAATTTTTGCTTTGGGCTCTTAGATAGCTATTGTATTCCTGCTGTCGGAGCCAAAGGCGTTCAATGTCATCTACTGGACGCGCTTGGCTGGCCAATATTTCGACGCCAGCTCCGACACGATTCCTTATCCAGGAGATACCCTGGGATCCCTCCGGATCGGCATCATCTCATCCCATTTCCCTGGTTGGCATACACAGTACACATGTACGGAAATGTGTATGTACCTACACTTGATGAAATCTGAGAATTCAGGACGGTGGATTAGGGAGTTTTATGAGCTCGTGGATAGGCAGCATTGGCCATCGGAGGTAGAACTTCGAAGCTTGTGAGGTTTGCAAGGCGGGGAGACGGGGAGATGATGATGGTGTCTACATGTCTGGCTCCAACACTCCATCAACTTGCGCCGTCGAGCTTGCCGTTTACAACAATACATAACCTTGTCTGGTCCTTGGCCTGGTGATCGCATCATCACCAGTTAAGTTATGTAGAACTCCAGAGCTTACTGGGCTATTGTAGATAATATCTTCAAGCATGAGGTGATAGATACTTAAGAATCATAAATCTGTTTTCTACAATAATGCATCCTACGTTGGAGGCTTATACTTCAACTGACATGCCGATTAAAATATTGGAAGGCCAAGCGTCCACGTTCTGGCACGTCCAAGAACAAATCATGAAAGCTCGATGATGGTACAAGTCTAGTATAGAGGAGAAAGGAAAAAAAAAAGAAAAAGAAGAAGAAAAAGAAAAGCTTGCCACGAAATGTTCTTGGACTTGAGTTCTACTTCACTTCAGCCCAGTTTATCATCATCTGTTTAGCCTCGTTCCACTCATTTTTTCACCATCGCGCCGTCCGTCGGTTTTTGCTCCGAGAGAGAAGCCGCCAATAGAACGAGGAAGAAACCCAGGCAACTCTTCACAAACATCCTCCCAAGCCACCACACTTTCGACCCGACCAAAATCTTACCTTCCGGCGGGAGCTGCCAGAAAAAAAAAGGAAGGATAACAAGAAAACTTAATCTTTCCTCAGAATTACTGAGACGGTCTTTTGCTTTCGCTTGCCCGTCCGTTACCCAGCTTTCTCTCAAATCCTAAATTATCTCTCCTACTGTCAACTGATTACCTGAAGAAACCTCCTCAAGACAGACCGGAACGTCAGCGCGCCATTGACGTTGACTGCTGAAGCGCCGGTTTCAAAGCAAGCTCCCGTTCCCTGAATCTAGCCGGAAACCTTTGGTGATTCTCCGCCAGCCCGATAGCCCGACCAAACGATTCCCTCATTCGTCCTCTCCCCGCCCTATATATAAATATCAGCCCGTCTGCCGGCATCATCCATTCGAGCTCATCTTCACCCGCTTGGCGCTTGATAGACCCACACACCTTTGATTTTCAACTTGGGACTGTTTCATACCTCAATCGCACACATACTACTCGAACGATTGCCCCTACCGCGAAAAAAAATTCGCGGATTGATCCCGTAGCCTGATTCCTACTCAGGATTTGACCAACACTTCTTGTTGTGTCTTTTTTGGGTATCCGTTGAATAGAAGTAGAGCATCAATCGCACCCGGTGCAACAAACCAATCCCCGATTTAGTATTTTATTTTGAGATTTGTTTTTGGGAAGCAGTATGTCTACTACTGACGAGCCCATCGACAATCTTGATCCCGATTCATCCTCGAGACCATCCGGCCCTACGCCAGGCCAAGCAGACATCAGCTTTTTAGGATTGGACGGATCACTGCCCTCAATTCGCTCGGCTTCTTTAATCCTTCAAGCCCTCATTCCGCTGCTTATATCGTTGGTTCTGCTCTTGGGAGGTCGTCGATTGTACAGTGAGTTGACTTCTGCATGGAGCCTGCTCATCTCAATTTTATTGAATTTAATATGCGGCCCATTGATTTCTAATTACGTCGTTTTTTATCAGGATTCACCACTACTGTTTCAGTGGGCCTCACGAGTGCTCTATTCACTTGGGCCCTTTGTGTCAACCTAGAATATGGCCAGTCGATTGGCGGTTGGACAGGGGAAGTGGCAGCGTTGACTGTTTGGTCAGTCATGATAGGTGGAGGACTTGTTGGCGCCATCATTGGATATCAGTACACCTGGTGGGGCGCTCATGTGACGGGACGAATGTGCCTGGGAGCCAACTCGGGCGTCGGCTTTGCCTTTTCGATTCTGCTATTCAAAGCCGGCCTGCTCATTCACACTCCAGCCGGCCAATGGTCCTTAGTGGCCGCCTTCGCTATCATCGGAGTCCTCGCTGTCCTTTGCGATCACGTCATCGGGCCACTCTTGGCCGTCTCGTTATCCGGAAGCTTCCTGTTCCTTCTCGCAGTCGATCTGTTCGCCACACTGGGAATTGGAGGCGTGGCTTCTGGTCTACGCCTACTAATCGATCATAACCCTGATCACCAAATGGTACGCTTTTTTTACCATTATTAATTTATCAGAGGCCACCTTGAACACGAGGAAAAATGCTTCAAATGATGGATTCTAACTTTCAGTCTTACTTCATCCGCATGGATGACCCTCAAATATAGCTTTTGACTCCGTACACTCCATCGAAATCGACAGAGATATTGATCATTGTGTCTTGGGTGATTGCGTTAGTCCTAAATTCCTGCTGATACTAAATTGGTAGGAGGCAAGCTGACGGGACTGGTGCGGGCGCAATATTTAATCTTTTAAGGGCGATGTCCTTCGGGTTGCAATATTTCTTTTATGATACTCCCTTCGGACCTGTACCGCCGACTGAAGTGCACGATGAGGAGGAACGTCTGGGCTTTGGGGCCGGCAAGTCAAAAGAGTCCTTTTCTCAGGGAAGCTCTGACGATGCGAAAAAGGAAGTCATCAAACCTGAAGTCAGTTCACACCCAACCGAACAGCATCAGACTATCAATATCAGTAACCCTCGTCCTTCGAATGGTGAGTTGAATCCTGACACTCTTCATATTCTTGAGCGCCACCCAAAGGCTAAACTTTTTGTCTAATTCTTTTTAATAGTTGTTTCCATTGGGACTAAGACCTCTGCCACTTTGGTTGATTCCAATCGCGCAGCGGAAATGCAAGAGCCGTCCAACCTTCCTTATGTCGCGCCGCGAGCAGGTCCAGTGGTAGCTGGAGAGTACGGCTCAGCACCAGCACTCGCCCTATCTCCTACTGTCTACTCGCGTTACAGACGTACACTAGATACTGAACACAAGCCTCCGGGTCGTTCACCCATCCAGTACAACGTCAGCTCCCTAAACACCTTTACCAATCCAAGACGAGTGGAGACCGTGGATGAAGTCACAGAAACTTCTACCAGTGTTCGCGGTGGAGATCTCACGGCACGTTCTTCGATGCTCACCATCGGCGGGATTTCAGACAAAAGGGTGAGGAGTAACAGCATGAGCGAGGAATACCTGCAGGCAATGATGCGTCTCGCAGCCGGAGAAGGTGCCGATAACCAAGCCAAGCGCGGTGATCCGAAGCAAGGAGCTTCGGGAACAGTACCATCAATGTCGGCCAGTACGTCTCAAGAGAACCAAGCAGCGGCAGTCCAGGATCCCCAATCTGCGAACCTTCTTCCAATCACAGAACCTGAGGTCTTAGCCGGTCATTCGTCTCCTGAAGTTGGTCAAGCTAAACCGTCCATCGAGCTATCCCCTCCAGAAGTAGTTATCGCCACAAGCTCAGCTCCGATTTCTTCACCCGCGATCCCCGCCTCGACGACTGATGCAACGAAATCAACACCGGTTGTTTGTCAGACTGAAACCCCAACAGCTGAAAGTGCCAATCCACCGGTGTCCCCTAACAACCAAGAACAGCCAAACATTGAGCCCAACAAGACCTCCAGACCATTATCCAAGTGGCCGTCGTGTTCTAGCTTTGGTCATGTAATTTTGAAAAGCAGTCGTGGAAGTGAAGACGCCGAGAAAGAGGATGGACGCAATGTTGCACCTCGTACTGCTAGAGCCCGGCGCCCAGGACTTTCACCGGCCGAATTTTCGCGATCTGATTCCAACTCTCGAACCAGTCGGGAACTCGGTGCAGAGGCGCAGGCTGGTTCGCTAGACTCGCGCTCTCAAGAGAGAAATGGCGAGCCAGCTTCGAGTGAACAGCTAGCACCAACTTCGGAGAATGGCTCGGCGATTATCATGAGAAGATATAGCCATCGCCCACTCCCACTTCTTCCGCGAGCAAATGAAAGGAGAAGCACTCAAGATGATCAGAGAATGCTCAGTTCTTCTCCGCCTGGGAACCAATTCAGGGATACCGGCAGCCTCAACAGCGCTACTTCCAACGTGTCATCGGCATTAGACAGCTTTACCCGGGTTGACCGAGATAGTAGTGTGCCTACCACTCCCTCCTGGTCTGGTAACATCCTCAAAGATGACCGAAAAGAGGAGGTCGCTTCTTCGAGTGGGGCGTCTTCCCGGAAGAAGCTTTCGATAATTGTGACGAAGAATCCAGTCCAGGTTGAGAGAGGATCAATGAGCAGTCCGACCAGCCAAGAAGCCGAGAGAGACAACTATTCGGACTTGTCAAATTCTGCCGTACCTCATACACCCACCCTGGGTAACATGCTCCTTCGTGTCGCCGACAATACCGCGAGAGCTCGTCGCCAGGCCAACAACTCGAACCAGGAATCCCTAGATAACCAACAAGCTATGCCAAGCGAACATTCAAGGGATGATGATGGGGACGGGGAGACGGTGAGAAGTGAGGCCTCGAGAAGATCGACAGTCTGTATGAGTTCTGCTTATGGTCATACTGATACGAGCGCGGATGAAGGCGGTCGATCGTCTTCGGAATCTGAATATGAGGATGAGGAGCAGAGCCAAGAGATGTATTTCAATCCGGGCAGGTTTCAGCAATTGGACCAAGCGATGGGGGAATGGGGCAAGATGGTTGGAGAGCCAGTCAGCAGTGACGCGGAAACTGAGGGGAAAGGAGGGGGTAGATCCCAGGAGCCATCGCCGAGTCTCCAGTCGATCCCTTTACCTTCTAGAGAGAGCTCATCGTACATGACTCAATCCTCAAGCCGGACAACCTTGATGGGGCCGACGCCGTTTGTGGGTCAGCCGCTGGCCGAGGTCCCGTGGCCACAGAAGAGACCCAACCAGCCCATCGAAAAGAGTGCTCAAGAGAAGGAGAAACGCTGGACGAGCGCATCATCCATCTTCCCGCCCTGGTCCTACGAATCATCCGCCGAAACGCCTCGGCCAGGCGGCTCAGCCAACGAGACCGACGCGCACAGTTCGTCGGAGTCCGGCACCAACCAGCCAGGATCCAGCAAACTCAACAGAGCCACCAACGGCAGCGTGACGAGCTGCGAGGAGGATGCTAATAGAACCCGCGGGATGTTTTGCAGTGCTTCCTCTCACGTTGCCGATGATTACGATGTCAGCAGCGTCAGTCATGTCGATGAGACCGATGCCGAAGACCCATATGAATCTGCGGCGGATTATAGTAGAAGTCTCAGAGCTTCTCTTGCAGGTGCTCCTGATGGTGGTTATATGACTGCAGATGATTAGAACAGTCATTATCATATTTGATTGATATTTTGAACCTTTTTTTCCCATCTCTCTTCTTACCAAGAAAAAAAAACACTCTCAGTAATTTATCCGTCTTATGTGATCTTCTCATTATATATATATATTTTTTTTCCTATATGCCTGAAAACTCTCTACCCTAACAATATAAGTATGTCTTGAGCCCCTAATCAGTAGTATGCCCTTTGATCCGGCGATCAAACTAATATCAATTGCAATCTAAAAGATTAATCATACCATATTCATTTGCGAAAGAAGAAGAAATTGCTTTCCATTCTTCTGTGACGCCGGCATGCAATCGTAAGGTAAGGATAAGTTTACAAAAAATTGATTGGTGTTGACATAAATCGTGGGCAGAAAAATAAAAAGAATGCTTTGATCATCATGTATGGTTTAACTTGAGATGTCTTGCGTTTCAAAAGCGCCATGAACGCTTCTGTTGTAAAGCAGCCGCCAAACAAGAGGAATTTCAGCAACGAAAAAGGTTCTGCTCAGCTGCAATACTCGTGCATTCTGGGGACGATGTACCTCAAGAATGCATCCAAAAGCCATCATCCAATATTCTCATGATCCCTGCCGCAGCTCATGATGCTGAGATTCCTCTCGTGACGCGTATGCTTTCAAAGAGAAGAGCTAACATTTTACTCTTGCGATTCCATGAGGAAAATGCGTTGCAGCAAACACTTTTGAAAGTTTAAAAACAGCTCAGCTCCGCCAAGTTTTAGTGGCTATATAAAGAGGTTGTGTTTGCTGGCAAGAAGGCGAATTTTCATCACGACCCCCATCCATTGCACACAAGTAGTTCTTTAAACATCCGCGTCACACCTCATCCCTCGCAGCCTTCCAACACAAAAACACTTTCCGACTCGCCGCCCACAATGGATCACCATCCCACACCCAGCGACTCGGAATCCACAGCTGATCAACCCGGACCAAGCCCGGGTGGCGTCCGCCCTACAGAAGAACCCGTTGAGGCTCAGCCTCAGCCTGCAGAGATGACTGCTGACCTTGATGATGCCCTTCTCCAACCGCCTCCAGCCCTCCTTGAGACTCAACAAGAGGTAATCGCCAGACAAGAAGCCTGGGTACAGATGATGGCGCCTCTCACTCCTGAGCAGCGACTCGACATTCAACTATATGCCGATTTGACTACTAGGGTTTGGGCGCAGCTTGCTGACAACCCCGAAGCACCGCCTGAAGTTTTGCCAGCGGCAGATGACCTCTTAGAAATTGTTGACAACTTTCAAAGAACTTTGCAAAGCTTACCTCAAAGAACTATTGAACGGATCGATGAATTTTTTGCCCATGCAGCCCAGCAGCTGGGGCAGCTGGGGCAACAACGGGAAAACATACATATGCTGCGACAAAACGTCGCTCCCTTCCTCGACGGCCTGGACATCACGACCCTGACGTCCTTGCAAGCAAATGTGGCCCAGCCCGACTCTCCGAAGTGCACCATCTGCCTGCAACACTACGCGGATAACGACGTCATCGTGGTACTACCGTGCCACCCTGACCACCACTTTCACTGGTCTTGCATTCAGGTGAGGTTTCCCCCTCTGATCGTCCTTTTGCCCTCCTTATCTGACTTTGTTTTACACCTGCAGCGCTGGATACACACTTTGATTCCCGCAAACTTTACCTGTCCTAACTGCAGAGCCCCAATTTTCTTTTGAACTGACACCGGACCTCTCCCTCAGTGAGCCTTGGCGGCCAGGCCTTGTGGTGAATAGTGTAGGACAAAATTAGTTATGATCAACTCTTGCATGCAATGAAATAAATTTCCTCTAATATGCCTTAGGCTAGTTCATGTCTGGCCTCCCAGACAATTCTAAGCACCTCTAACATGAGTGAAATATCGTGCCGTGAGAAACTTCAGAAAGCCTTGGCTTTGTAGCGATTGGAAGCACTTGACAAATTTGTGAAATTCCAACGTTCAGTGCCCTCAAAACAGCAGCCTAACCCAACTGTAAGCCATCAGACCTGATTGCTCCTATTATGGCTTAACTTCCGTATCTTCCTTTATCCACGAGGATTGTGCCACTCAACACAAAGTACCCATCTTCCTGCTCGCTGCAACAGGCACCCTGAAACCTACATCAGTAAGGATATTGAATAACCAAAAACGCGCGAAAATAATGAAAAGACGGAGATAAGCGGTACAGTAGGAAACAAACTGGCACTCACCTGGAAAGTAACAAATTGATGATTAGTTGCTATACTAAAGTCGTTGAGGAGTCGTAGGTGAGGCGTAAGGATGTCGTAAAGGCGGCAGAGCGTGATTCAATGGACTAGGGATACTATCGATGGTTATTAACCAGAGGCTAGAGCCTTCTAGCTAGGTAGTGAAAACTTCACTCTTGGAAAGAGTAAACGTTGATTGGGGTTGAGAACGCGTTGCGACGCGTTGGTTCTTGCTGCGCCGCAGCCACTTTCAATGTTTCTTATTCATTTATCCTTTTGCGCGCCTGCGCGTTATTTCACATGTGTATTTTATTTCTTTTTAATTATTTTAATATTATCTTTTCTTTCTATGAGGGGGTTAGGACTTCTTAACCCCTGACAGCCAATGGCAACATCACACCTCGAAAGGAAAAAGTCAAAATATTAATCATACCCTATTTCTCAAAAAAGAAATGATTGAATTCCATTATTCTGTCAACACAACACAACATGCGATTGTAAGTTGAGGAAAACCATCACATTTTTTCTCGTAAATACTTTCCTTCTGGAAGTGAATGGATAGATGTAGTTTGTTCAGCCAATTTGAGTTCATAAAATTTCATGGATTTTTACATAAAGACCATGGGGAAAATGATTGTTCGTGTATGATTTGGTTCAATTTTCTTGGGGGAGGGTATGTCACCAACTGAAATTAAACTTATAAGCTTCAAAAGTCCCTTTCTTTGTCTGACCTGGAATACATAGCCCCAAATTGAGAGATATCCCTTTGTCCCATCAGCTGAATTTGAGTCCCTCTCTTTACTGCCTGATTCAAGTGAAATAAGCAGCTGAAGGAAGGGACCGAGACCGACGTGGACACTGCCTCAGCGAGGTTTAACTTGAGGTGCCTTGCATTTCAAAAGCGCCATGGACGCTTCTGTAGGAAAGCAGCCGAAAACCAGGAGGAATTACAGCAGCGCAAAAGGTTCTGCTCAGCTGCAATACTCGTGCATTCTGGGGACAACGTTCCTCAAGAATGCATCCACAAGCCGTCATCCACTATTCTCATGATCCCTGCCGCAGCTCATGGTGCTGAGATTCCTCTCGTGACGCGTATGCTTTCAAAGAGAAGAGCTACCTTCCTACTCTTGCGATTCCATCAGGAAAATGCGTTGCAGCAAACACTTTTGAAGGTTTAAAAACAGCTCAGCTCCGCCAAGTTGCAGTGGCTATATAAAGAGGTTGAGTCTGCCCACAATTTGGCGGAATCATCTTCATCACGACCATCATCCATTGCACTCAAGTAGATCTTTGAACAGTCGCCACAAACTTTATCCCCTGTAGCCCACCAACACACAAACACCTTCCGACTCACAGCCCGAAAATGGAACCCCCTTCCACACCCTGCAACTCGGAATCCACAGCTGATCAACCCGGACCAAGCCCCGTTGGCGTCCGCCCTGTAGAAGAACCCGTTCAGCCTCAGCCTCAGCCTGGAAAATTGAGTGCTGACATTTTCCAACCGCCTCCAGGCCCCCCTGAGTCTGACGCAGGCGAACTCGCCAGAGAAGAAGCCTGGCTACAGTTGCTGGCGCCTCTCACTCCTCGGCAGCGAATCGACATTCAACGATATGCCGATGTGACAACTGTTGTTTGGGAGCAGCTTGCTGCCAACCCCGAAGCGTCCCCTCAAGGTTTGGCAGCGGCCGATGATTACCTAGAAAACATTGACAACTTTGAAAGAACTTTGGATGGCTTACCGCAAAGAACTATTGACCGGGTCGAAGAATTTTTTTCCCATATGATTCAACAGATCGGGCAGCTGATTCAAGAGCGTGAAGACAGAGATTTGCTGCGACAAAACGTCGATCCCTTCCTCGACGTCTTGATCAACACAAACCTGACGTCCTTGCTGGCGGATGGGGCCCAGCGCGACTGTACGAAGTGCACAATCTGCCTGCAACACTACGCGGATAGCGACGTCATTGTGGTACTACCGTGCCACCGTGACCACCACTTTCACCGGTCTTGCATTCAGGTGAGGTTTCCCCCTCTGTTCGTCCTTTTGCCCTCTTTATCTGACTTTGTTTTACACCTGCAGAAGTGGTTACACTCTTTGATTCCCGAAGCTTTTACCTGTCCCCACTGCAAAGCCCCAATTTTGTTTTAAATTGGGCCCCGCCTTCCCTCTCAGTGAGTCCCTGGAGGCCTGGCCTTAGGATGAGTAGTGTAGATCAAAAATATTTAGAATAAACTCTTGTCTGCAATGATATAAATTTCCTCCAATACAAATAGCCTTAAGTTGGTTCATGTCTGGCCTGCCTGACATTCTCCAGCCCTCTTAACGTGAATGATATATCGTGCTGTGCGAACCTACAGCAAGCATTGGCTTTGTAGCGATTGTAAGCCTTTGAATAATTCACCAAATTCCAACGTTGAATGTCCTCGTACCAGCAGTCAATTCCTACTGTGAGCCATCAGACTGCTGCCATTATGGATTAACCTCCGTATTATCCTTTATCCACAAAGGTTGTGACATTCCACAAACAGTACCCATCCTCCTGCTCGCTGCAACAGGAACCCTGAAACCTAAATCAGTAAGCACATTGAATAACCAAAAACGTGCGAAAATGATGAAAAGACGGAATTATTCGGCACACTAGGAATCACATCGGCACTTGACTGGAAAAGTATAAATCGATTGTTGGTTGTCATAGAGCGAACGAGATGGCTCTTGGGTAACCGCGGAAAACAACTCACATCAACGAGCAACCCCAAGATGCTTGTTACGAGATGTATGATTTCCCTCCCCGTAGGGGCTTTGATGTCGTTCAAGAGCTTAAAGGGTGAGGTAACACATGAGTCCATTTCTTAACACAGTCAGAAATTTCCCAACAACGAGAACCCACCAAGTCCTGCATTTTGCCTTGGCTGTAATTCATCTGCTTGCTTTGAACAAAACACCCAGCACTGTCAAGTGCTACAGCATGTGGGGAGCAAGCTTGCTTTAAAGCCGCCAGTTGAGAGTTGATATGTATTATGATCCTGAACCATCAAAACAGAGGTCAGATCTCCTTTGATTTCCTGCTCTGACTGGTGGCAGGATACCCACTAGGACCAGGACCAGCATACTCATTGAATTCATTGATCACAATCAAAACATTTCCCATTCATGTAGCATCATACAATAATCATTTGTTTTATTCTGTCTTGGTTTTTGTCTCTTTCATTTGTTTTCCTTTATGGTATCTTATTTCAATCTCTTCTATTTAGATTTATGTTCGGATTTTAAGCGTAGTCTCTCAATGAAATGTTGCACAACACTACACAATACTCCATTTTAATATTGTGCAATGCTAATGGCAACATCACACCTCGAAAGGAAAAGATCAGAATATTAACCATACCCTATTCTTCAAAAAAGAAATGATTGAATTCCATTATTCTGTCAACACAACACAACATGCGATTGTAAGTTGATGAAAAACCTCACATTTTTTCTCGTGAATACTTTCCTTCTGGAAGTGAATGGATAAATTTAATTTTTAGCCAACTTGAGTTCATAAAATTTCATGAATTTTTACATAAAGACCATGGGGAAAATGATTGCTGATATATGATTTGATTTAATTTTCTTGGGGCCTCCGTATGGCACAAACTGAAATTAAACATACAAGCTTCAGAAGTCCCTTTATTTGTCTGACCTGGAATACACAGCCCCAACTTGAGAGAAATCCCTTCGTCCCATCAGCTGAATTTGAGTCCCTCTCTTTACTGCCTGATTCAAGTGAAATAAGCAGCAGAAGGAAGGGACCGATACCGACGTGGACACTGCCTCAGCGTCCGGCACCAAGAGAGGCCACGCTTCGCGCGAGGCGCTTTGCACCCGGTCCCCACTCGTTGCTGAATTCACGCTTCGGAGGCTAACAGGCCCACCGAAGCGAGAGACTTAGCTAAGTTCGTAGCGCGACGAGCTGCGAGGATGATGCAACTAGAACTCGCGAGACGTGTTGAAGTGCTTCTTCTTACGACGCTGATTCACTTCAGCATGGCCAGTCGCGTTGTTGGGACTGATACCGAAGATTCATATGCATCGACGGCGGATTATAGTAGAGGTATCAGAGCTTCTCTCGCAAGTCCTCCTGATGGTAGTTTGATGACTCCAGATGATGAGAATAGTCACTATCGTATTTAATCGAATCCTCTTGGTGAACAACTTGGTTTTTCTGCTCTCTTCTTAGCAGAATAACAACCTTCAGCACTTTTTCTCTCTTAAGTGGTCTACTGGTTTTTTGTGTTCCTATATTGACCTGAAGACTCGCTACTCACAATGTAAATGTGGCTTGAACCCGCAATCACTAATATCCAGTTGAATCCGGCAATTAAACAAACAGTAATTGCAACCTAAAAGCTCAATCATACCCTATTCGTTTTTCAAACAAGGGGAAGAAATTGTATTCCTTTCTTCTGTGGACGCGACACGCAATCACAAGACACGGAGAAGGGTTTTTTTGTGGACATCTGTGGGGAAAAACATGAGGATCGTTGTGATCATCACTTACGGATCAGTATGATCATCTCGGGGGCGCGTATGAGCAGCACCAACGGAAAGTAAGATCGAAGGGACTGGGTGTTTTAGAAGCTTCAAAGGTCTCTTCTTCGGGCATGGTATAGCCGAACTTGACATAAATGCATTTATCCTACTCGCTAAACGCAAGTCCCCCGCCTCGCCCGGGGGAATGTCAAGCCATCTATTTTGGTGACTTTTCTGTTCGTTTCAAGAAAACATCAACAACAATTGACAATTGACAATTTGCGTGTCTGCATCTTCAAAAGCGCTACGCGCACGTCCGTTTGAAAGCAGCCGCAAAACAAAAGGGATTTCAGCAACGGAAAAGGTTCTGGTCATCGATGTACGATAGTTGTGCATTCTTGGGAAGCGGGTGTGTTCCTTAAGAATGCAGTTGCCGCAGCTCATTTTGCTGAGATTCCTCTCCTGACGCATATGCTTTCAAGGAAGAGAGTCAACTTCCTACTCTTGCGATTCCATCAAGAAAATGCGTTGCAGCAAACACTTTCGAAAGACTAAAAAGAGCTTCGAGCTCCGCTCCGCCGAGTTGTTTTGGCTATATAAAGATGTTGGTTTGTACCGGGTTCCTGTCCTTCCCATCCTCCTCACACGACACAAGTCCCAGCCCAGCAGTCCATCCTAGAGCAGCAATAACCCGCCCATCAGCCCTTCAACACCCAACTCAAACACTTCGATTCATCACAGAATGCCCTCCAGCACCACTCCTAGTGACCAGGCACCGCCTTCCGACCAACCCCAACCCAGCCCCGTTGTCGTCCTCTCTGTTGAAGAGCCTGCTGAGCCTCAAGCTTCCTCCATCCAGCACCCCCTCATCACCGCGCTGGGGGATGTAGCACCCGCCGCCCTGGACACTCCCCATGCTGAGGAGGGAGCTCTGGCAGCCTTTCCTGATCAATTATCTGCTGATACTCAAGTCCCCCTCGAACCGCCTCCAGGTCCCTACGAGGAAGGTCTAGGCGAATTCGCCCGACAGCAAGCCTGGATCATACTGATGGCGACTCTCTCTCGCGAACAGCGAATCCTTGTTCAAGAATATATCGATGCCTCCAAGGCGATTTGGAAACAACTTGCTGAAAATCCCGGGGCACTACCTAGTGATATGCTCCCACAAATCGAACGTTTCGCGCGCAATGTCCCTCACTATCGTAGACTTATGGAGAGGTTACCCCAGGAAACTGTTGACAAGCTCGATGCCTTCTTGGGTCCCATGGTCACGGACATGGAGACCAAGATAGAGAAACGCACCAGGCGTAACCAGTAGTGTAGCTTATCATTATTTTCATCAATTCTTGTATGTAATGAGCTGCTTCTCTTGAAATACAATTGGCATTATGCCAATTCATTTCTGAATCTCCGCGCACTTCTGATCCACGTTCACTGGTGAATGAATTCCACTTTAGTGGCGGGCACCATGACGTGCTGGCTTTGGACAAGGTGACAACTATTTACAAATATGTTAAATCCCCGTGAAGAATTCCCTCTAAGTGACTTTGAAGCCAAGTGTCAACCGTCTGATTTCTAGACTCATTAACCCTTTGCATTCGCAAACTCTTACCCAACTCCTGGCCCACTTTTTTATATCTGTCAACACGGTTCAGCAGGTCTCATCGAATTCAAATCACAATCAGTCAAATGAATAACCACAAATGTGAAAGAATGACATAAGAAGATGAGGCAAAAGAGCTTGCGCAGTAGCAATCGAAGCAGCCTTCATCTGGCAAGCAATAAATATACTTCTGATTGCTCTAGAGTTAGCCAAGTCAATTTTGGGAAACTGTGAAAAATACCGCACATCAACCAACATTCCTGATATGCCCGGTACCAGATGAGTGCTTTCCCGCCCTGTAGAGGCCTATATGTTTTTCAGGGGCTGAAAAGGTCATGAGACACATGATTCCACTTCCTAACCCAATCAACATGTTATACATGAGTATACTATGACCCACCAAACTGAATTCCACATCTTGCCTTAGCTGTTCCTCAGCTTGCTGTTTACAAAGCGCTCAAGACTGTGATCAAGTGATTCCAGATTGCTCTAATCGTAGCCACATGAGATTTGGGAGGAAAATCTGCTTGAGGGTCAACAGCTGAGAATTAATATTGCTCTGAACCACCCAAAAATTGGTCAGATCTCCTTTGATTTCCTACTCTGTTGGCAGGAAGAATACCAACCAGGACCAGCAGACAGTAGCATATTCATTCAATTCATTGAGAATTGATAAGGCTTTCTATCCATCTGACATAATAGAAAAAAAAACTGATTTTTGTCTATCTTTTTTCTATCTTGTTTCACTCTCTTTTATATATCTTTTCTCACCTTGGTGAATTGTGTTCAGCTCTCATGTGTACTCTCTATACCCTTTCTCTCTTACTTGAGTTTGAAGATCTAGGAATTTATATGTAAATACACTGCATAATAATCATTCTTTATAGTGTGCAACACCAATGACAACATCACACTTCAAAAATAATCAAATCTACAATCTAAAAGAGTACTGGTACCTTATTCATTTTCCAAAGAAGAATCAATTGGATTCTTTTCTTTTGACTGTGAATGTAACAAGCAAGTCACTTATTTTTCTCATATTTATTTTCTTTCTGCGAATGAGTGAATCAGTTCAGCTTGTTTAGCCAATTCCATTTTGGAATTTCTTTTCAACATCATGGCTCGAAAAAAACACAGATGTTTTTGTTTAGGGGACCATTTGTTAGCACAATGTAGCAGTGTAATGCGTGAAATCCCCACATGAAAAGTTGAAGGTATTTGTGCAGATTTCACACATGTTCCGCTTGCACAGAACACTGGAGGACTTCCCATCCACATCCTTAGACCTTACAGAACCAGATTTTGGCCCACTCAAGCCAGTTTTTGCCAGGAAATCTGATTCAAGGGGCTACAAATCTGGCTTTGTAGGGGGTACTGAACTGACAGGAAGTCTTCCACTGACAAACTTGGCCTCAATTTTCTTGTGGTGGGTATGGTGACCAGCTGAAATTAAATTCAAGTGTTTATGGTTGTTTTAATAAGCTTAAAACCCCTCTCTATTGGTCAGAACTAGTATACATACATAGCAGAAATCCCTCTGTTCAATTATAAGCAGTCCCTTGCCTTACCACACCCACACTCATGCCTAATTTGTGCAAGGTAAGCAGCCAAAGGAAGGGTCTTGAGAAAACCTTATAACTCACTTCTGACTCAAGCCCCTTGTGTGGCATCGCAAAGGACAGTGAGTTCATAGTTCCCTCAATTAAGAAGAGGAACTCTGTTGAGTTTTGGTGTGTTATTCATTCCAGATTTGAGATTTTGGATGACAAATTTGGCCATCTGTTTTTTTTGGGAGCCTATGATCTACAGTAAATGCCTACAGATCTTTTGTGGGTTATCAAGACCATTGGATAGTCTATATCATGATTTGAGGTTTGAGTTGGAGCATTTTGGTTCAATCAATTCTCAAATTGACTTCCTGCATTCAAAAGTGAAATTTTCTATTGGCAGACCCTCCAGAAATAGTCTACCACAATATTTTGCCATTTGAAGTCTTACCTTCTGGTTGTGAATCTGGAAGTGCTTGAGGTTTGCTTTAGTCCAAGGTCCCCTCAGGACACCCCATTCCCTATAAGCCCCTAAACCGAAGCAAGATGAGTGATAATTGTGCTTTCAAGTTAGCCCCCCCTCCCTAGTCGACTGGAGTTGGCCCTATATTTCGCTCACACAAAGTGTTTGTTGACGTCTTTTCGGACTCGCCCCCCCCCCCCTTTGTTTTTCTACATTCCATCTGTGTGTACAAATTTCGACTCACCACGATTGGGTCATGGGCAAGTAGTGGGCACTAATGAGGCGATTTACAGACACAGGCCGGCTACATTAGGTGGAAGGGCCCATGGCAAATTATGTCCAAAAGAAACCCTCGACTCAGTCTTGTGCTATCTGCTTGGCCATTTAAGCGCCCCCCTTTGTGTTGTAGGGCTCTATGTACTAGATAAGTTATTTTAGGAGAGGGCTCTTGCTATGTAGTAGTATTTATGTTGTAGTAGCTCGGAATTTAGCCGATAGTGAATTGAATTTGATAGGGTTGCCAGGCCCTTTAGCCCAGCGTATGTATGCCAAGCTGGCTGGTGTTTTGTTATGCATCTGGCTGATTAAGCCCCCGCCCGGACTGAGTCAAGTCTCCCACAGCACTCCGGGCAGAATGCCATGGCCCTGGTGGATTATATAAACCCATCCCAGTTGACCATCCCCACTCCGACAGCCCATCCCACATCCAGCTCAACCAGCCTGTTGACCATCCATCTAACCATCCACAACCAAACCACACCACATCTCATCATGCCTTCCAACTCAACCTCATCCACCAGCTGCAGCATCTACCCAATCGACCATCCAACCCTACCTGCCGGATTGCCATCCCAGGAGTATAAACATCACACCATGAAGTCTACCATCACCGGCGCCATCCAGGAGATCGTCATCATCGAGTCCAACCAGGGAACCTCCTTCGAAATCAGTCTCGACATCAAGCCCACTGCCTACGCTGCCCTACACCAACAGAGCTCAGCCAAGGAGTCGACCAACAACAGAAACAATCCCCCACTCAGAGAGGACGACTATCTGATCTACGTCCTGCTCGATGGCATCAACATTCAACGATCAAAGAGACACCGCTTCCAACGCACCCCAACCAGAATATCAGGTGTCTATTCTAGCGACAGATCCTCATCCCGCTCATTCCAATTTGGCTCCATCCAGCTCGTCGATCCAGATGACCATCCTCACTCAGCACAAGACCCAGCAGACCAGATCTGTGAGGATGAGAAAATCATACAGGCACTCGGTACCATCCAGGTTAATATCGTCAAATGCACCCTCGGCTCACCTCAACCCGTCCCACGACGCATAGCCAGAGCTAACCAGCCATCTCATCGAGCTAACTCTAACCAACGATGCGCTGCCAATCTCCGTACCACCAATCAGATGAAGTTCTCAGAACGTAGCAAGAAGGCCTGTCAGCTCAACACCGCCGGCCTCAGCCAACCGATCCCTTCTACTCACAACGGACGTGGTGGGGCTGGAATACCGTTCCCGGGTAAAAAAACAATTCGACCCGTCGTCCATGAAGAGCCAAACCCATTCCTTCAGGTTTGTGTTTTTTTTTCTCTATAATCCAAATTCTCCCAATCCTTACTCTCCAGGGTCGTCGTCACTGAACTATTTCACCCTTCCTGCTTTTGTCCACAGTTTATCTTCAGGTATAAACCCAGGGCGATCCTAGAGGCCGAAGGTATTATTGCCCCACCACCACCCCCACCACCA